GCAGAATGGAGAAGGCCATACGGCAGAGGAAGAGGTAATTCATCAAATGTTTTTAATGGAAAGCCTAATATGAAAGTTTGTAGCTACTGTGGCAAGACAGGTCACACTGTTGAAGTATGTTATAAAAAGCATGGTTATCCAACCAATTTTAAAACAAAGAACAGTGGAAGCATCAATAGCATTGTAGGGGATTCTTTTAACTCTGCTGTGAGTGGTGAAGCAGACTCAAAAGGGGACACTGACACAGCTTCTCAAGTCTCCTCACAAGTCTCATTGTCTGATGAGCAGTTTAAGGCAATCATGGCTCTGTTCCAATCTTCCAATGTTGCTAGCCCCTCAAGGAATAATCAGGTAGCAGCTGTTACTACAAAACAGCAAACACAATCAGGTAATCATATAGCATGCAGCATTCATACCTTGTTTGACACCTGGATACTTGATTCAGGTGCAACTGACCATATTTGTTCAAATAAAAAATTATTCAGTTGTTTAAAGCCAATAAACCATGACCCTATCATAGTAAATCTTCCAAATGGACATAAATCCACAGCAACACACAAAGGAACCATCACTATTGATCAGAATCTTATTTTAACTGATGTCCTTTTTATGCCAGGGTTCACGTTGAATCTTATTTCAATTTCAAAACTGAGTTCACAGCTTAACCTTGGTTTCCTTTTTTTTCCTAACTCATGTCTCATACAGGACTTGAACACCTTGAAGATGATTGGTTCAGCTAGAATGAAGGATGGGTTGTATTGGCTATCTTACCATCATCTCTCACAGCCATGTACATCACAATTAGCCGTAGTAAATGCAACCTTAACCAAATCTTTTTTTCCAGAAACTGCCTTGTGGCATTTCAGATTGGGGCATGTCTCTAATTCACGAATGAATATGCTTTGTGATTTGTACCCTTTTTTACATACATATAATAAAAATTTAGTTTGTGACACTTGTCACTATGCAAAGCAAAAAAGATTACCTTATAGTGATAGTAACAGCCGGGCAACTAAGCCTTTTGATCTCATTCATGTGGATGTATGGGGACCTTATAGTGTTCATACAATCCATAAACAAAAGTTCTTTCTTACAATTGTGGATGACTACAGTAGGTACACCTGGCTAATTTTGATGAAACATAAGTCAGAAACAGAAAACCACTTGAAAAATTTCACCAAAATGATTGAAACTCAATTTGAAAGAAAAATTAAAATCATTAGGTCAGATAATGGGACTGAATTTTTGATGAAATCCTTTTACAATGATTATGGAATTCTTCACCAAACAAGCTGTGTTGAGACACCTCAACAGAATGCTAGAGTTGAGAGAAAACATCAAATTCTTCTTAACATTGCTAGAGCCCTTTTGTTTCAAGGGAATTTACCAAAATTTTTTTGGGGCCTAGCGGTTGCTCATGCTGTGCATTTATTGAATAGGTTACCATCTCCCATTATTGACTCTAAGTCACCTTATGAAGTTTTATTTAATCAAAAACCAGATTTAAATAATTTAAGAGTCTTTGGTTGTCTTTGCTATTCATCCACAAATACTTCACATAGAGGAAAGTTTGATCCAAGAGCAAAAAAATGTGTTTTTGTGGGGTACAAGCCTGGCACAAAAGGATTTTTATTATATGAAATAAGTACAAAGACATTGCAAGTTTCCAGAAATGTTATGTTTGAGGAGTACATTTTTCCTTTTCAAACTGATATGCCAAGTACAGTTTCTGACCAAAGACACCACCAACCTGCCATCATTAGTCAACCGAATTTCCCTACACTTCACCAACCTGCCATCATTAGTCAACCAAACTCACCTACACTACACACATCCTCTCTTCATACTGAACAAGAACTACTGCCAGCCAGCACTGAATCAACACCAACCTCTCTACGTTCTCATAGCCATGAACTGAATCTACCACAAACAATAAGAAAATCACACAGGATCAAACAAAAACCTATATACTTGCAAGATTTTCAATGCAACTCAGTCCTTTCATCCCAACTGGCTAATCAAGGTAGTCTTTATCCCCTCTCATCCTTTTACTCCCTATCTAATCTATCTCCTTGTTATGCTGCATTCTGTATGAATATCACTGATCAAAAGGAGCCTAAGACATTCCTTGAAGCTAGTAAACAAGATTGTTGGAGAAAAGCCATGGAGGCTGAAATCCAAGCTCTTGAGCTCAATGACACTTGGAGTCTTGTAGATCTTCCACCTGGAGTTACTCCCATTGGTTGCAAATGGGTCTATAAGATCAAGAGGAAATCAGATGGAACCATTGAAAGGTATAAGGCAAGATTAGTTGCCAAGGGATACAATCAAGTTGAGGGACTTGATTACCTAGACACCTTTTCACCTGTAGCAAAACTAACCACAATTAGAATCATTATAGCTCTTACTGCAGCTCACAATTGGCATCTACATCAATTGGATGTCAACAATGCTTTTCTACATGGTGATTTGAGAGAGGATGTGTACATGGTTCCTCCACAAGGTATGGCAGTTTCTCATCCAAATAAGGTTTGCAAACTAACTAAATCACTTTATGGTTTAAAACAGGCAAGCAGACAGTGGTTTGAGAAGCTTTCTTCCTTTCTTCTAACCTTGGGGTTCCATCAAGCCACTGCAGATCATATTTTATTCCTTAGATTCTTTGATTCTGGGTTTACTGGTCTATTAGTGTATGTGGATGACATCCTATTATTTGGGACTTCTGTACATGCATTTGCTTCAGTCAAGCAACAATTGCATAGAGTATTTGGCATCAAAGATCTTGGTATTTTAAGATATTTTTTAGGATTGGAAATAGCACACTCTTCACAGGGAATTTCCATCTCACAAAGGAAGTATTGTCTTGAGCTTTTGGAGGACACATCTCTAACCAACTGTAAACCTGCCTCGACTCCTTTGGATCCAGCAATGGTTTTACAACAAGACAAGGGAGTGCCATTTCCAGATGTTACTGCATACCGGAGACTAGTTGGCAGATTGCTTTATCTAACAACTACAAGGCCAGATATCACCTTTGCTGTTCAGCAAGTTAGTCAGTACCTCAATTCTCCAACTTATGCACATCACCAAGCTGCAGTTAGAATACTTCGCTTCTTAAAGAATGCACCAGGATTAGGATTGTTCTTCCCTAGAAACAGTGACCTGCAACTTCGTGGGTTTGTTGATGCTGATTGGGGAAGATGCCCAGATACTCGAAAGTCCATCTCTGGTTATTGTTTTTTTATTGGTCCTTCTCTGGTAAGTTGGAAATCAAAGAAACAACTCACTGTAGCTCGTTCCTCTGCAGAAGCTGAGTATAGGGCTCTTGCTACTGCAACTTGTGAATTGCAATGGATACACTACCTACTTCAAGATCTTCACATCCATCCAACCAAGTCCCATGTGATATTTTGTGACAACCAAAGTGTCATACACATTGCACAGAATCCTGTTTTCCATGAGAGAACTAAACATTTAGAAATTGATTGTCATCTAGTTAGAGAGAAACTACAATCAGGCCTAATGCATTTGTTGCCCATTTCATCTCATGCCCAAATAGCTGATTTTTTCACCAAGGCCCTACTTCCAAAATATTTCCCTGCCTTTTTATCCAAGCTTGGAGTGCACAATATCTTCTGCCCTCCAGCTTGCGAGGGGGTATTAAGAATTCCTCAAGTAAAGCTTCCTCTAGTTGATGACTCTGCACACGTCAAGTCTCATATCGTCAAATCCACAAACTTGCAATGCACACCTCAAATCCCACGTTGAATAGCTGTACACCTATACACTCGTGTTTTTCATTGCATTTGCCTAGCCTTAATCTTTCTGTTAGGATTTTCTAAATATTCTTTTTTCTGTTTTGATTGTTTTCATTTTTCCGTTTTTTTCTCTTCCTTCCATTCACATATTTGTGTATATAAGTGAAGGAATGTATGACTTAATAATATTCAATTCTTACAGAAAATAGACTTTACGTGAAAAACACTTTCTATCCTTCAAATGGTTCAAAAACTGTTAGGTGTCTTGTGTTTTAATTTCCATTCCGTCAATCACATATATTCTAATTGTATGTAACTTTGTTGGTTAAGATGATGGAGAGGAAATGTAGTACATTCATAGATTAATATTTCATACTAGTTGAATTACATTTTTAAATTGAGGTACCTTGTTGGATTTTGTGATTATTAGCCATGGCAACTTTTGATTTCTAAACTTATCATCTACTTCTGATTCCTAAATTTATCATTCATTTTTTAATCAACAATAACATCATATATGTCCATTTTGGTCATCGTTTAGTGGGGTTATCTCTAAATACGAATATGTAATGGAGAGAAGAACATACTCCAATCAACAGTAAATAATATTATTATATTAATGAATTTAGTTATTTAAATGATGATTTTTTGACATATTTTCAGTACATCATTTCTCTTCTATTGTCATCGTCCACGCTCTCTACAAGTAATGACAAATGAATCTACTCATCAAACGGGACTAGCATATGGGATAAATTCTTCGTCAACTTTATCATCATTCTCTTCATCCCAAAATTTCTTGCGAACATTTCCAGCATACCAAAGGCACAAAATCAGCACAAGGTTGAATAATAGGACGAAATGGCACCACATGGAAGGATGCTAAGTCTAGTAAGAAGAAAAGTATATTGGAGATTTCAGTGATTGTAGGCCATAACAACAATGATAGAGCGAGCCCAGCTTTTTAAACCTAAGTGAATACACAATGAAGAAAATCCATTCAGTAAAGGAAACAAGATAGAGACAATGAAATTAGTAATAAGTGTCAAACATTCGTTGTGGCAGCAAGATCTACATTAACCAACATAGACATATTTTAAAATGAGTAATTTATTCAACGAATCATGAAACCAAGTAGAAAGAGATCCACCGCATATCTTTTATTTTCATGTACAAGACTTGACCATGAGAAAGGGAAGAGAAAAAGCGACTCACAGTGCAACTCTGAAGAATTTCATTAATTCAGTGTGTTGAAACAGAGCTTCGTGTGGAACAGCCTTTCCTTTGTAAGGGTAAAACGGAAAGATACCCAACCACTGTGGAAACAACAAGACATACCACAGAAAGATACCCCAATATAATTGTTATATTGGATGGGAACTTGACACAATCTTCGCTTGTAAAGGCCATTGCTACACCAGTTGGGCACTGTAACATCATCTTTGGTTCGACAAGCACGCTGAAATTACATCCTAGTTCATATAATAAATATGATAAACGTGTTACAAATTACATTTGGACTAACAGGACTAACTAATTCTTCAATAATTGATTTTTAAGATTCTAAAATTCATTCATTCATTCAAGTCCCTTAACAAATAACCATTTTCCACGCTAAGAACATGGTGTTTAAAGTTTTGTTATTTTTGAGGCAAAACTAAATTTCAACACTCTGTATCTGAATTAGTCGAAAAGTTGGATGAAATTAAAAAGACGCCATGAATAAAAATGGCAGAAGATGCATTGATCACCTTTATATCTTCGGCCATAATTCCCAAAACGAAAGACCGAGAAAGCAACGGGAGAGGGTCATTAGTCTGTGCGGAAAGAAGACGGAATAAAAGAAAGAGAAAAGCTACTGAGTAAGGAAGATGAATAGAACGCTTAAATTAAGAGAAGGAATCTGTTAAAAGAGATAACAAGTATCATTTTGTAATAAGTTAGGTTTAGTGAATATTTGAACATAACGACATTAACAACATTGGTTAATCTCTCTACGATATTGACGTCATAATATCTTGTTATTTATTTATCAGTTCAATTATTAAAAATTAATTTATTTATCTAAACGTTGTATATTTACATTATTTTAACTAAAAAGATAAATTATCCATAAAAATAAAACATATAAGGTTAAATCTAAATTAGTTTTAAGTAATATAAATATATCCTAAATTCCTATAACCTCCCATAGGACATAATGTATTCAAGTTTAAATTATTTATTTAATGTTTTGTTGATGTTTCAAATTAATAAAAAGGTCGTATTTATTATAACTAATTATTATATATTATTAATTAATCAACAGTCATTGTATTTTTAATATTTTAAACTTTGGTTTAAAAAAGAAGTGTTAATTTTTTATGAAAAAAATAATATAAAATTTCTTTTAAAAGACATTCGTAAATATTCAATTTAATTTTTCTTTTTTTTTCTCCTTAACCAAATAAACCTTATCTATTAAATCCTAACAAACAAAATTCATATAGCATTATTTTATATATATATATATATATATATATATATATATATATATATATATATATATATATATATATATGGATAGATAAAGGGAGTTCGATGAATGGTGAGATTATTTTTAAAATTTAAAAATATTATTTTCATGTTTTTAATAAACTGATATTCATATTCTATATAGTTATAATTTTAAATAGGTATACATCTAGAATATTTACAATTAATGACAGTTTTATATTTTTAACAAGGTAATACTCACCTATTTATATTTTTTTATTAAACTTTTAATTTAATATTTAAAAGAAAATAATTAAATATTTTTATCAGTTTTATTTGAATTTTAGTTAATGTAATAGTTTAAAATAAAACAAGGGAAGTAGGTGCTCTTTTGATTTTAAAAAATATAAAAAAATGAATCTTATTTATTAAAAATATAAATCCTTTGCCAAATGCTTTCCAGGCTGGTTCATATGTGTCAAAGTGAAGGATGAAAAAATTGGTGTGTTTTCAACATGAAACTAGTATTTTGGAGTGGGCAAACCGGATTAGGGAGAAAAAACTTAAAAAGTCTCAAATAGAGTTATGCAAAAACACTATTATAGAACCATTAATCGGAAAATTAATTGTCATAGCACATATTCGTAAGCAAAAAATAATAATTATATCTTTATCTATTTGAATAAGTCAATTCAAAATACTTTATTGTATTTATTCATTCAAAATATAATGAAATACAAAAAAAAAATTGCACAAAAAAACTACAATTCACTAGTTAAATAAATAAAATAAAAAGCTAAGGTTTTAAATTAAAATAAAATACTTAATATTGTATACTCTTTCAATACAATCATAACTTTCTCATTTTTACATATTTTAAATTTTATGTTTAACATTACTTTTTAATCAGTCTTTAATTTAAAAAGATTAAATCGATAGGGTGTGGAAATCAAATTCTCATATCATTATTATATCGTATAAATTAGTAGAATATAGTATATTATAAGTTTGGATTGAATATACGTGTATAAAAAGAATTACACGGTCAATAAATTAAACTTTTAAATCATAGAGATTGCTATGATACATAAATAGCATTGGAATGAGGAAAATATAATGAGCAACCAACATTTTTCTATTTTCTAATAGTTTAATTAGAACAACAACTAGGTCTATTACACCTTTTTATTATTATAAAATATGCAAATAAGGAAAGTTGACGGAAAGAAAATACTAAAAAATGTTTATTTTCGCAAAACATAAAATAAGGATAATACTAACATGTATGTAGTTTTTTTTTTTTTTTTTTTTAATATCAACGAGAATGAGAAAATGTATTAGGTTTGATGATTGATCATCATTCCATTTTAAAAATATTTAGACAGATAAATAGTTTTAGCCATTGACCTAATTTAATTAATTTTGTTTAATCTGGGAATCCACTGATTAAGATGAGATGAATTAGTTTATTGATTAGTTTTTTAAAAAATTATATATTAAAATTAGAATTATAATTATAAATATTACATTTTTATATTATTAAAATATATAAATATATTATAATATTATAATTTAAATATAAATATTAATTAAATAAATTTAAATTATTAATCATAATTAAATATTTTTTAAAATATATTATATATTTTTAATTTATCTAATAAAAGTATTAATCAATAAATTAAAATTTTAAATTTTTTTATATAACTAAATATACATTTTAAAATTATATATATAAATATATATTGACTAACCATTTTTTTTAATAAGATTACTTAAAATATATAATTTATCATTCATATCATACCAGTTAATTTTATTTCATTTTTAGCATACTAAAAATTAAATCTATTCCATTTTTAGAATACTGAAAATAAAATGGGCGCAAAGAAGTTATCCTATGTATTTTTTAATCAAAACTTAAATTAGAAAAGCATAGTTGATAAATAAATTAAATATAAAGGAACTACGATGAAAAGTTTAAAGCAAGAAACTTGCGAGTTAGAACTTCTTCCATTATAGCAAAATTTATCTGGCATAGAGCATCACAAGACTCCGGAATGAAGAAAGGTACACGTCTAGAACAGGATATCGGATTTTATTCATCATACACTTTGCAACTTTTGTTAGCAAGAATAAATATTAAAAACCAGAAAAAAATAGTAAAATATCTACTTTCTTCTTTTTCTTAAGTAGTTAAATACCTACTTAGATGCTACAAAAAGTCATTTACTGTAATTTAGTCTATAACAAAATATTAACTAATTTATAATATATAATGTGAGGTGCTTTTCTGTTTGTTTTTTCAATTTACTTAATAATTTTAAGAATTAATTTAAGTCGTTAATATTTTTTAGAGGTAGATTGGTACATATTAACATGTCTAGGAATTAATTATATAGATATTTCTGCATGTGAATGAGAACACAAAAATCATTTTCAAAATATACAATTAAGAAACACTTCTAAGTATAAAAATTATGATGTAATTAAAATGTGTAGTAACTAATATTTTTGAACATGTAAATTATATTTGAAACTTATGATAAATAGTTTATACTGTAAAGAATATATTGTTATTTTTAATCAATGATATTTTTTTAATATTAAAATTTACGCTAGAACTATGAATATTGAAAATAATATGTTAAAAGAGACACGGAATTAAATTGTTCAGTTAATTTAAAGTTAGAAGATAACATTTTGAAAAAAACTCTTTTTAATAACATGTAACCGTGTCAAAAAATAAACTTGTTCCAATAACACAACCATTTCAAATACAATTATTTGTAGCGGTTTATATTTTATGTTCATATTATTTATTGTGTTATTCTTAAAATAACATACATAACGAAGTTGTTGTACCATAAAAATAAAAACGTAAAAAAAAAAAGGACACAATAGATAAATTTGTAACAACGCTGAATTAAAATAAATAAAAAAGGATCAAACTTTATATTTATAATTTTATACGACTAATTAATGATGTTTTTCAGAGAAGAAATAGAGTTGCATATTTTAAAAAACCAAATTAAGTAATTGATATAAAAATATAACATAACAACACAACTTACCAATAATATTGAAAGCATCGTTAATTTAAATATATTTTTAATGTAACTCTTGATAAACACACTATATTATTAGTTTCTTTCCAACACAATAAAACAGTAAATCACCATTGAAAACAATTCCATCTTTTAGCAAAAGAAAAACTGCGGAGTGTAGTATTAATCATATTATTTTTCTATTAGATAGTTTTCTTTGTTATTATTTTTTTAAATTTTGCTTTAGTGTTACTTTTAATATTATTCTTTGTCCCGTATCTTTTAAAAGTAAATTAATACAATTTCTATTATAAAATACAATTAAATTGTTTAACGAAATATGACATTAACATAATAATATTAAATATCGCATAAACATATATATGTGAATAAATATTTTGTATTTTATTTTTGTCAAATAGTTTAATAATTATAAAAGATGTATTAATTTATTTTAAAATAAATTAAATTAATACTAAAATTAATAACGTGAGAAAATTTAAAAAATGACAAAATAATGTATTATTTTTTTCAGATATACACTTGAAATATATATACTAAAATGTACACGTTTCAACCGTTAAAATACTGTGTTTTTATTGGATACTTCAAACAGTACTTGTTTGAAAGTTGAAAAATGTGTAAATGTCTCAGAAAACATTTTGGTCATGATTGCAAGTGAAGCATGTGGTTTTCGAGATTTTTTGAAAAAGTCTGACACGGACACCACTCTGCAGTGTTGCTTTGCTTTGCCTGTTTATTTCAGTTCAAATTTAAAAAGAAAAAAACAAACAAAAGAAAAAGATTCTCCACCACATAACTTGTTCGCCGTTCACTCCGTTTCTCTGTACTCAATGCACAAAGCAACTTAACTCAAAAGCAGACGCAACATATATGTCCCTTGGATCCCTTCTGCACTCACTGTAGTTAATGCCTCATTCTATGTTTTATTGTTTTCCAACTAACTCTTGGCCTTGACTCATTCTTCACTGTGCCTTTTAGATCAACTAATTAAATTTTGGTGGCTTATTTTGATTTTCGCTTCTTAGTGATTATGGGGTTGATGGGGAGTGGAAAGTTTGGAAGGTGTGATTTTGTTGGGGTTGTTGTGTTGGTGGTCTTGGTGGGGTCAGTGAGTGGGATTGGTGTGAATTGGGGGACACGGTCAACACACCCTTTGTCTCCTTCGAAGGTGGTGAAGATGCTGAAGGACAATGGCATTCAGAAGGTGAAGCTTTTTGATGCTGATCCTGGCATCTTGGATGCTCTCAAGAAGTCTGGGATACAGGTCATGGTGGGAATTCCCAATGACATGCTTTATACCCTTGCTAACAGTGTTGAAGCAGCTGAAAAATGGGTTTCCAAGAATGTTTCCAAACATGTATCTTCTGGAGGAGTGGATATCAGGTACATTAGTCACCCCTTTTTTATGCGTTGCAGAATCTGTTATTACCAACCTTAGGCTTTGAGTTCAAGCTGTGGTTTTAATTGTCACTGTTTTTTTCGTTTGGCTTGGTTTTTTGTTGATGAAATGGATATGCATAAAACAAATGAGTAGTTTAGAATTATGAGTGGAAACCACCATTGTATAGCGACAACTGGTAATTAAGGCGCAGTTGAGAATACAAGTTAACTTGGATGGAGAATTTCAAGAAAATGTAAATTTGTGAATGTCTTTTTGATTTTGCATGTTAATGGTGCAAATTAGGTTACGGAATTCTAGACAGATTTGGTTGTTGAACTTTGAACAAATATACCAATTATGAATTTGTTAGTACTACTATATTTTGCAAGGGCAATTCCTGCGACTCTAACTTGGCTTGCATTCTGTTGGCACTTCTGCTTGTTGTTCTTGTGCTTGTGAGGTTGCAATACACCGAATGTAAACATTAGTTCTTCTTCTCTTTTTCTCTGTCTGTTCTTAGTTACGTTTAGTGCACCATAAAAAGTGCAATGATCAGCTATCATCATGGAATAGAAATAAAAAATAACAAATATAGAGATTATAAGACGTGAAATTTAGCATATTGATCTGGTTATAATATTTAGCACTACCTTGTTTCTGATGCTGTGAAAATTAATATTTCTCTTTACTGAACAATGTATTTTGCAGATTTTACATTTTAATTGTTTTGTTGCAGAATTCTTTTGTTTTGGATATTTCTCCTTAACATTAAAGTACGTGTTATCTCATATTTGATACAACGTTTTTAAGAGTGATAGTATGTCTGAGTTAGAAGAAAGAAAATATTGCAACTGGACCGAAGAGAGTTGTAGTGAATGGGAAATAAGTGTCTTTCCTAGATGAATCTGTGTTCAGGGGTTCATCTTGTGCTTTGTCACGGTCCATTGAACCTGTCTTCCTTTTACTTATTCTGTTTGGAAAATTGTTCAATATTTAATCTTTCACATCTTCTACTGGCTAATATACTCCTCTTAGTTTTCATATATGCTGATCTGGTAAAGTTCCACTCATTGTTGATGTACTTGGAGTGGAAATATTCTCCTTGTTTGAGGTTTTTATAATAACCCAATCTCCTTAATTTACATTCATCTATGTATGGAAACTATTCTAGAGTGCAGTCTTTGTTGAACAATTGGTCAGACTATATCTCTGCCAAAAGTTGAAATGCGAATCATAAATCATATCCTCATAGTTCTTGAATGATATTAATGTCGCCCGACATCAAAAAGTTATGCTCTCCTTTCATGCTATGTCTTAGATTTGGAAGGTTACGTTTAAGTGCATCTATTAAGGTTATCGTGGGAACAGACATTTCCTTAGAGCTATTATCTGAATTTTCACCCCTCAACGCCGATGCTCATTTGTGATTATTTTTCTTAAAGATGTTATTGTTTCAATGTTAATTGAAGGAAAAATTGTATTTTGGTCGACCTAAGTTATAATTATTGTCATAGTTTTGTGTTCTCTGCATAGGGGAATGACATTCGACTGTTAATCTCTGCAAAGTGTGGAGATTACACTTGTTCTTTCACAAACAGTTTATTATAGATTGTGCAATTAGAGTTAGTGTTCAATTACTCATTTGGTATCTTGTGATCTATGTTGTAGTAAGATTCCTTTTTATTGGAATTTGAGTCAATATGCTTAATGATGTCTATTTCTATTCATTCATAACCCTTTTCCAATTAAGCAGAAGAACAATATTTTCCAATTAGGAAAAAAACAAAGCCTTTCTTTCTTCTGAAGATTAAACTTATCACTTTAGTATCCAGCGCCCATAGTGAGCATAAAACTCAACCACCATTTCTGATAATGATTTCAATCACTTCTAGCCACCCGAGGGTGTGGTTCAAATATGATATGAAACTTTCGTTCCTTTGTATTATAGTTGTTCCCAACACTCCTTGAAATGAGGATTACAAGTAAACTTTGGATCAAATCAGTTTCAGGCTCAAAATTCATTTCATCATAATTTTGTTGGATGCAGGATGTAGTTAGATCTTAAATGATGATAGATTGGACTATTAGCTATATTGAAGGAAACAGTGTTACAACTTTATGTCAGTTGACCTAACCCGTTCATTAAGGACACTTCTGTGTGTTCTTACATTTCACTGATTGCAAAAACTCAACCACCATTACAATATTTTATGTATACCTTTCCTTACGCATCATATCTTGTGGCACTTGCTAGGTATGTTGCAGTGGGGAATGAACCATTCTTGTCAACATACAATGGCAGCTACGAAACCACGACGCTTCCAGCACTCCAAAACATTCAGGCAGCTCTCACAAAGTCCGGTTTGAGCAACCGTGTCAAGGTCACAGTCCCCCTAAACGCTGACGTGTACCAAAGCTCTTCAGAAAAGCCATCAGATGGCGGTTTCAGACCGGATATCAACCCTGTTATGCTACAGATTGTCAAGTTCTTGAATGACAATGGCGCACCCTTCACAGTGAACATCTACCCTTTCATCAGCCTCTACTCGGACCCCAATTTCCCTGTTGACTATGCATTCTTTAACGGCTACCAGCCCGCCATAAATGACAATGGAAGAACCTATGACAATGTGTTTGATGCTAACCATGACACTCTAGTGTGGGCACTGCAGAAGAATGGCTTTGGAAACTTGCCCATAATTGTGGGGGAAATCGGGTGGCCTACAGATGGAGACAGAAATGCAAACCTTCAATATGCACAACGTTTCAACCAAGGTTTCATGTCAAAATACATGTCTGGAAAAGGGACCCCAATGAGGCCTAGTCCTGTAGATGCTTATTTGTTTAGTCTCATAGATGAAGATGCCAAAAGCATTCAGCCAGGGAATTTTGAGCGTCACTGGGGGATGTTTTACTTGGATGGACAACCAAAATACCAACTTAATCTTGGGTCAACACGAGGCAATGGGTTAGTAGGTGCCAATGGGGTTGATCACTTGGCTAAAAAGTGGTGTGTTTTGAAACCTTCCGCAAACCTTAATGATGACCAAGTGGCACCTAGTGTGGCCTATGCTTGTCAAAATGCTGATTGCACCAGTCTTGGGTATGGAACTTCATGTGGCAATTTAGATGTGCATGGTAACATATCTTATGCGTTTAATAGCTACTACCAGGTAAATGACCAGATGGACAGTGCCTGCAAATTCCCTGGCCTTTCTATGATCACTGACAAGGATCCATCTGTGGGAGATTGCAAGTTCAGAATCATGATCCAGACAGATTCTGCAGGGCTACATGGAAAAGTTGGATCTCTAACTACAGTGCTGTTATCTTTTGTACTTTTGCTATATTGTAATCTTTGGTTTTGATTTGCTTGCTTTATGCTTGTATCTGAATGGATGGATGTAACTGTGTAGCAAGAGGAAGAAAAAAAAATGACTTAAATTATTTACTAATGCACTAATATTGTTTGACTTACTGTCTTTGTCCCAATAATTGTTTACTGACTGAATTAATTAAAATGTAACTCTATAATTTTTATTTTTTTAATATATATATATATATATATATATATATATATATATATATATATTTTGTACTTCAATAAAATAGGAACACCTTTTCGATTTTTTTTTATGAATTTAATTAATAATAATAATTAAAAAAATATAATAATAATAATGATTAAAGAGATTTTGAATTCTTATATAATTTAAATTGTTGAGTATAATAAACTTGCTATTTTTCAACTGAAGAATGCTGGTTACAATGAAGTTTTTTAAGAGGTATAGACTATAGTGCATTACCTTTGTAAATTGTTTACTTTTATTTCATAGGAATAATAATTCAGTTTAATTTCATTTGTTCAAATTATTTCATGTCACTCGTTCTGAAAAGAGAAAGAAAAAAAAAAATATATATATATATATATATATATATATATATATATATATATATATATATATATATATATATATATATATCCTCATACATGTTTATGACAAATACATAAAAGAATAAATTACAATTTGGATCTTCTTCTAATTTTAATATGACATTTTGATCTTTTTATTTTTTTTATTGAGATTTTAGTTTATATTTTTTTAATCTGAAAATATAATATAATTATAAAATTTATTTATGTTTTATTTTCTTTCAAATTGACTCTTAAATTTAATATATTTATTAAAATATTACAAATATTTCATTCTATTAGAATAAATAAATAAATGTAAAATAAGGAAATTAAAATTAAAATTTCTACAAAATTTTAAGATTATAATAAAACAATTAACAATAAAAATTAAAAAAAAATCAAAATTAGAATTTGATAAAAAACAAAATCTTATATGGTACAAAAAAAATGTGTACCATTTGGGCTGATTTTTATTGGATTTGGGCCTTGAGGGAAACGGGCTTAGTGATGTGGGTAGGTTTAAAGAAGCGGGTCGGATATCTCCGGAAGCTTCTGATCCATCATCGCGTAGGTGTTGGTTTGTGCGGTGCCCTTTCCCACTGTCTTTTTTTCTTTCTCTTTTTCTTTCGTCTTCATTTATTCTTCTCTCTCGCTCTCACCTCTGCAACTGGAACCGCTTACGCCCATAACCCTACTTTGTAATATACATACGTATTCAAATTAAACACAGCACAAAAAATAACCTAATAAAATCACATATATCATCATCATATATAATACGATTATCTTCTCTCAGTGTCGCTGATGGAGGATCAAGCAAATCAAGAGCCACAGTCACGTGATGAAGAGGAGGATTCTAAGAAGGAAGAAGAGGAATTGATTGTGAATGTTAACAAACTCATGGAGAAGATAACTTCTGCACCTGATAACCCTAAGGCAACCGTTCTCCATGCGCTTGCCTCTATTCTCGAAACGCAAGAGTTACGGTAGATTTTCCTATAGTTGCTATTTTTTTTTTTCAATGAATTGTCTCTTCACATGTGGAATCACACATCGACTCTCTCTTATTTGATTTCTTCTGGAATCATCTCTTTGGCGTTGATATGTTTTTGTTTTTGGGAATATGTGATTGTCAATTTTATTTCAATTACATGCTCAGTTATTGTTTAGATGCTGAATACTGTAGCTATCATTTTTTTTTTTTTGGTTTTATTTTTTTCATTTCCTTCTAGTTTGTGTAGATAATTTATTTATTTTTACAATGTAGATACATGGAAGAGAGTGGGCATTCATCCTCCAGTACTGCCCGTGCTGCGCATGTCATTGGTCGCCTTGGTGGTTTAATTAGGGTAACTTCTCGGTCACTTTTGGTTATTATTGTTGTTAATTTGGGTGTAGAGATTTTCTTAAGCTAATTTATTGTATTAGATTATTTAGATTGTATTTTTGCTCTTACGCCTTTTGCAGGAAAATGATGAGTTTTTTGAGTTGATATCTTCGAGGTTTCTGTCAGAAACAAGATACTCAACATCCATTCAAGCGGCTGCTGGCAGACTTCTCCTATGCTGTTCCCTAACATGGATTGTAAGATTGCCTACTCGCCTATTCCGTCTCCCATTGTTAATTCTGTTGATGATGTCCACATGTTGTTGAATTAATCTGATGTGTAAATGGACAGTATCCTCATGTTTTTGAAGAACACGTCATGGAAAACATAAAAAATTGGGTGATGGATGATAACACTGGGTTGCCTACTGAAGAGCAGAATCTGAAGCATAGTTCAGGGAGAAGGGAGGCATCGGACTCTGAAATGTTGAAAACCTATTCTACTGGACTCCTTGCTGTGTGTTTGGTCGGGTATGCTATGCCTGCCCATTCTATAGTTTTTTTTTTAGATTTATTGCTTTGATGTTTGACTTAATTTTGGGCTTTAATAACTGTTGCTTGCAGTTAATGCTTTAACTGCTTAATCTTGCTTGTCTCTATTTTTTAGCTCTCATTTATTTATTTAATTTGTAATTAACATTGGTTTTATCTCAGTGGAGGTCAAATAGTGGAAGATGTTTTGACTTCTGGCTTGTCAGCTAAGCTTATGCGATATCTTCGTTTACGTGTTCTGGGAGAGACAAGTAGCAACCAGAAAGATGTTACTCATGCAACGGAGAGTAGGCATGCATCTGCAAATACTTCAGGTAGAGGTAGAGATGATGGTCGTGGTAGATTTCGCCAGTTCCTTGAACCAAATCATTTAGATGATACTAGGATGATTGATGAGAGATCATTAGATGATGCAACTCTTGAAAGGGGCCCAGATAGAAGCATTAGTGGACAAACACTCCAAGAAGGATCTTGGATAGAAGGTGAACCACCTGATGGGCTCAGTGAAGGCGCTGATGTCCAGGAGGTAGATTCTGATGCAGAGGATAGATGGTGCTGTAGAGATATACGTGATGGGAGGATAAAATATGGTGAACACGATGACAATGTTAGAGATGACTCTTCAAGGCGGCGAACAAACCGTGGATGGGGAAGATCTAGAGGGAAAGGAAGGGTCAATGAAGGGACTGTAGAAAGTGATCCCATTTTATCATCTCCTGGCTCTGGCAGTAGATTAGCACAGGGGCGGAGTGTTAGAGATAGAAGTGTATTGAGGAATGTTGATGGTAGGAAGGTGGCTGAGTCTAAGAAGACCCTTGGCAGGACCTCTTTGGAGGCTTCTGGTTTTGAAAGAGAGGATCATGATGATTGTTTCCAAGAATGCCGAATTGGGAGTAAAGATATAACTGATCTTGTCCGGAAAGCAGTTCAAGCTGCTGAAGCTGAAGCTAGATCAGCCAATGCACCTGAAGAAGCTGTCAAAGCAGCTGGTGATGCTGCTGCTGACCTGGTTAAAACTGCAGCTTCAGAGGTATGCTTGGAATCATCCATGTTTTTCTCCCAACACCAAAATTATACTCTCTGCTTATTTATATGTTTGTCTATGTGATTGTGAGTAAGTACTTTATAGGTTAAGCTCAATGTTAAAATAGTTTATCTTGCATTTGTATTCAGGAATATAAATCCACTAACGACGAAGAAGCAGCTTTTTTGGCTGCTTCTAAAGCTGCATCAACTGTTATTGATGCTGCATGTGCAGTGGAGGTTTCAAGGTATGTCAGAATATATTTTAAGAGTACCTTTTAAGATCTGATTACATACATCAACACATAACAAGGATGGCTCCTTAATAATTATCGTTGTTTGGTACTAGGAGTTCTATTGGCAACAATAATGTAAAAGAGAATGAGAGTGGCAAAGAAACAGAAGCTAATGAGGACTTGGAAGAGTACTTCATCCCAGATACTCAATCACTTGCACAGTTGAGGGAAAAGTATTGCATTCAGTGTCTTGAGTTACTTGGAGAATATGTAGAAGTTCTTGGCCCTGTGTTGCATGAGAAGGGGGTTGATGTGTGTCTTGCACTTCTGCAGCAGAATTCTAAACATCGGGAGGCATCCAAGGTTGCTTTGCTGTTGCCTGATGTCATGAAGCTAATCTGTGCTTTGGCTGCACATAGGAAATTTGCTGCACTTTTTGTGGACCGTGGGGGAATGCAAAAGCTGCTTGCTGTCCCTAGAATGGCACAGACTTTCTTTGGTCTTTCTTCTTGTCTATTTACTATTGGTTCTATTCAGGTATTCCTGGTACTTTTATAGTAGTGACAATTGTGATTTGAGATGCGTAGTAATGTTTTTTATGTTCTCTCTCTCTCACACACAAAAAACTGCTGTATTTTCTGACCCTATATTATTATTTCAGGGGATAATGGAAAGGGTTTGTGCTCTTCCGTCACAAGTTGTTTATCATGTTGTTGAGTTAGCTCTCCAACTTCTTGACTGCAATCAAGACCAGGCCCGGAAGAATGCAGCATTGTTTTTTGCTGCTTCATTTGTTTTCAGAGCTGTTCTTGATGCCTTTGATTCCCTGGATGGATTACAGAAATTACTGGGCCTTCTAAATGATGCTGCTTCTGTAAGATCAGGAGTAAATTCTGGAGCCTTGAGTTTATCTAACTCAGGAGCACTTCGAAATGATCGATCATCTGCCGAAGTGCTGACATCGTCTGAGAAGCAGATAGCCTATCACACTTGTGTTGCTTTAAGGCAATATTTCAGGGCCCATCTCCTTGTATTAGTGGATTCCATTCGTCCAAACAAAAGCAATCGTAGTGCTGCTAGAAATATTTCAAGTGTAAGGGCAGTGTACAAGCCACTAGATATTAGTAATGAGGCAATGGATGCAGTTTTCCTACAATTACAAAAAGATCGGAAGTTAGGTCCTGCATTTGTTAGAACACGTTGGCTAGCAGTTGAGAAGTTCTTGGCATCTAATGGACATGTTACCATGCTGGAATTGTGTCAGGTATTTATTGTTATTGTAACACTTGTCCTGTATCTTCAATTTATTTATTTATTATTTTTTGTTGTTTGTAGGCCCCACCTGTGGAGCGATATTTGCATGATTTGCTTCAGTATGCTTTGGGTGTTTTGCACATTGTTACATTGGTACCTAGCAGTCGGAAGATGATCGTAAATGTAACATTAAGCAACAATCGTGTTGGTATTGCAGTAATTTTGGATGCTGCTAATATAGCTAGTAATCATGTGGACCCCGAGGTAGGTTTTTTTCTGGTTGTATTCTAGTGTTCACTGCCCTAATTTCTTCAGGTGGTAAAGAAGGTCTTGTAGGATTTTGACCTACATATTGAGTATCCCAATATGTGGTATCTTAACTTTTGTTTGCAAACGCTTATCCATTTCAGATAATTCAACCAGCATTAAATGTTTTAGTCAACCTGGTTTGCCCTCCTCCTTCAATAAGCAATAAACCGGCAATGGTTGCACAAGGTCAGCAGTTGGCGTCTTCCCAGACATCTAATGGTCCTCCCTCGGAGGCTAGAGATAGAAATGTGGAACGGAATGTTTCAGATAGAGCTGTTCACTCTACTAGCCAGATTGATCCTAGGGAGAGGAATGGGGAGTCCAATGCTGTAGAGCGAGGCAGTGCTGCAGGACTAAGTACACAGCCTGCTAACAGTACTCCACAAACTCCTGTTGCTTCTGCAACATCAGGATTGGTTGGTGACCGAAGGATATCTTTGGGTGTGGGAGCAGGTTGTGCAGGCCTTGCTGCACAATTGGAACAAGGGTATCGTCAAGCAAGAGAGACTGTCCGCTCTAATAATGGTATAAAGGTTCTTCTGCATCTCCTCCAACCACGGATATATTCACCTCCTGCTGCTCTGGACTGTCTTCGTGCTCTAGCATGTCGAGTTCTACTTGGATTAGCCAGAGATGATACAATTGCACACATATTGACAAAGCTTCAGGTGAGCTACTGTAACTGATTTTTATTGAACTAAGTCAGCACAAACTGAACTACATCCATTAGATCCTGATTTGGATTAGTTAGTATCTAGTGTGGAAGTTGAGATGACTCTGCTTCAACGGTTTTTTTGTGTACCAGTTTAAATTCTTTTCTGATGATGACTTATGAAAAAAAAAATACATATTGCCAAATGTTGTAATTTATTATCCTGATTTATTTGTTTGGGTGTTCTAGGTTGGTAAAAAGCTATCAGAGCTGATTCGGGATTCAGGTAGCCAAACACTTGGAACAGAGCAGGGTAGGTGGCAAGCTGAACTTTCTCAAGCTGCCATTGAGCTTATTGGGGTAAGCAGCATTTCCACTCTTAACGACCAAAATTGTGTATTTACTTGGTTGTATGCGACCAAAATTTTTTGTGCGTGAGTTCATACACGAATGCATTTTTTTTATTTGGGTATGACTGTTTGTCAGGAAACTATAGGATACCAAATATCATAGTAATGGACTGAGATTTTTTTAATTATTCTACTTTTTGGTTGTGTGTTTGTGTTTTTGACTGTTGACCGGGGAATTGTTGGACAGTGAATATCAATTTCATATTAATGTACCTAAAAGATCTTTGAATCATGATACCAAATTTGATTTCAGTTTTGAAATTTTAAAAAACTTAAGCCGCAAATCTGCTATAGATTAAAATGTTTAGCATCTAAGTCTTCATTACTAGTTCGCAAAATGCCGTCAAATAAATACTTTGGGTTATTTGCCAGAGTATTACTGTATTAGTGTATGAAGCCCATTGGATGATTTAAACAAAATATTTTTTATTTGGCATTGGCGTATCAATTTTAAAGCTTTGATATATCCTGTGATCTCACTAAGATGAATAAATAAAAACGAGCTTTATGAAGGGCTGCTTTTGATACTTATGTTGAAATTGTATTTGTAGATTGTGACTAATTCAGGGCGTGCAAGTACATTAGCTGCTACTGATGCAGCTACTCCTACTTTAAGGCGCATTGAAAGAGCAGCTATTGCTGCTGCCACTCCTATTACTTACCATTCAAGGTTTTTTTCTCCTTTCAAATTTTTTATCGTGCAAGATTTTCTAATACATGCACCACCTCCTCCCCTCCCTCTTGGGGATATCCTTCTGATGGCTGATTGCTCCTTTGTGTTATGTTTTTTCTTGTTCAGGGAACTTTTGCTTCTAATTCATGAACACCTACAAGCATCTGGATTGACATATGCTGCTTCTGCGTTGCTTAAAGATGCTCAGTTGACTCCTTTGCCATCATTGGTTCCTCCCTCTTCTCTTGCACAACAGCCCACAACACAGGAAGCTTCTTCAACACAAATTCAGTGGCCCTCTGGCCGTACTCCTTCTGGATTTCTCTCTAACAAATTAAAGCTTATTGCGAAGGATGAGGATGCCTGCTTGAAAAGTGATCCTGTCTCCGCAAAAAAAAAATCATTGACTTTCTCATCATCTTTTCATTCAAGACTCCAACTTCTTGACTCTCAGAACTCATCAGTGAGGAAATTGTCAAATACTGCTAAAGATGCTTCAGAAAGTAGTGTGGCAGAGACTGGATCTGAATCTTCGGTGAAGCATAACATTGAAACTGGAGTTCAGTTTAAAACTCCAATAACCTTGCCAGCAAAACGGAAGTTATCTGAGTTGAAGGACATATCAATGTTTTCTTCATCTGGAAAACGATTAAATGTTGGGGATCAAGGACTTCGCTCTCCTATTTGTTCAAGTGCAATTCGTAAAAGCTGCCTGCAGCCTGATGCAGTTGGGCTTTTCACTCCAACTTGTAACCTGAAAAATCAACATAGCCGTTGTATGGGTGATTTGGTGGATGAGAATCAGTGCAGTGTATCAAATCTAGGTCAAATGACTCCATCCTCCCAAGTATTAAATGACTTTCAGCCCAGCAACCCTGAACGTGTAACATTAGATTCTCTAGTGGTTCAGTATTTGAAGCATCAGCACCGCCAATGCCCAGCTCCTATTACAACACTTCCTCCACTGTCACTTCTGCACCCGCATGTCTGTCCTGAACCAAAGCGGAGCCTTGATGCCCCTTCTAATGTGACAGCTAGGCTTGGTACACGTGAATTTAAATATATGTATGGGGGAGTGCATGGGAATCGCAGGGATCGGCAATTTGTTTACAGTCGGTTTAGACCGTGGCGCACTTGTCGGGATGATGCTGGTGCCTTGTTAACATGCATTACATTTGTTGGGGACTCCTCCCATATTGCTGTTGGAAGCCATAATGGGGAGCTCAAATTTTTTGACTCCAACAACAGCAATGTAGTGGAGAGCTTCACAGGTCATCAGGCTCCTCTGACTCTTGTTCAGTCTTTTGTTGCTGGTGAGACCCAGCTATTACTTTCTTCAAGCTCCCAAGATGTTAGACTGTGGGATGCAACTTCAATTTTAGGTGGTCCTAGCCATTCATTTGAAGGATGCAGGGCAGCCAGGTTTAGCAATTCTGGGAATGTTTTTGCAGCCCTGTCATCTGAATCTTCACGGCGGGAGATCCTCTTGTATGATATCCAAACATGTCAGTTAGAGTCCAAGTTGTCAGATACTTTTACAACTTCTACTGGGCGAGGTCATGTTTATTCTTTAATCCATTTTAACCCTTCTGACTCAATGCTGCTTTGGAATGGTGTCTTGTGGGATCGACGTGTCTCTGGGCCTGTTCATCGCTTTGATCAGTTTACAGATTATGGTGGTGGAGGCTTTCATCCTGCTGGCAACGAGGTATACATAATCTTGTATCTCTCTTAACAATAAAAATTTTGAAATAACCAAGCCAAGCCTTTTCCCACTATATGGAGCTACATGAATCAAACAAACACCATATTCTATTATAAATCATGCTGGGGAATTATAAATTAGAAAGAAAATAATCTTAACTTGACTACCAGTGAAAAATGAAAAGATATCCATATGCAAGACTGTTATTATACTTCCTTATAAGTCTGCATAGAAGTGGATGAACGGATGTTTAAAGGTTTGAATATTTTCAACCTTTTTGTGAAGAAAGATTTGATGGTTTTTTTTTTCTTTTCAAAGTTTTAGGATTATTGAGTTTGACGTCAAAGCAGAGCAATGTAGTGACCATATTGTTTTTTTATTTATTTATTTAGTTTGATTGTATTTTGCGTCCACCAGGTGGATTTTTTACCTTTATCTTGTGTGCTTGTGAATAAATGTTTTTTGACCAGGTTATTATAAACTCTGAAGTCTGGGATCTGCGGAAGTTCAGATTGCTACGCAGTGTGCCTTCATTGGATCAAACTTCAATTACATTCAATGCGCGTGGTGATGTAATGTATGCTATCTTAAGGAGAAATCTTGAGGATGTAATGTCAGCAGTCCACACTCGACGTGTCAAGCATCCTCTTTTTTCAGCTTTCCGCACAGTGGATGCAATAAATTATTCTGACATTGCGACTATCCCTGTGGATCGCTGTGTTCTTGATTTTGCAACTGAGCCTACAGATTCATTTGTTGGGCTGATTACTATGGATGATCAGGATGAGATGTATGCTTCTGCCAGAATCTATGAAATTGGTCGTCGGAGACCAACTGATGATGACTCCGATCCTGATGATGCTGAAAGTGAGGAGGAAGATGAGGATGACGATGATGACGACGGTGATGTTGATCCTCTTTTAGGTCCTGGGCTTGGTGGGGATAGTGGCAGTGATGCTGATGACATGAGCAATGACGACGAGGACGATGATAGCGTGAGTGATCTTGATGAAGATGAAGATGGAGATTTTATTTTAGATGATGTTGACTTTGATGGAGGACCTGGTATATTGGAGATTGTGACAGAAGGTGACGAGGACGATGATGATAGTCAGGTACTTGAATCCTTAAGTAGTGATGATGAGGATTTTGTGGGTAATGGCTTTGGTTATTAGTTTTTAATCGAGGACAAGCTGTAATTATTTCTTTCTTCATTATATTCATTTTTGAGCGAAATGTTAATTATTTTGGCTCAAAATTTTGCTATCTTTCAACTTTATGTCATGCGAATTTATTATGCTGGAAGGTTTAGAGGTGCAGTTGTATATAATAATTGTTACAAACCGCAGTTTTACCGAGATCTTTATTTTCTGCCACCGTGATGTCCTTGCTGCCCGGAATCTCTATTGTGTACCTGGGTTTTATTTTTAGATTTTTATATTATTATTTATTTATTATTATATTTTACTCTCTATCAATCAGCCAAAAATAAAATATGACTTAACATATAACTGCAGTGGAAATTAATTAAAAAAATTAAAAGAAATCTGCCAAAAGGGGTTATTAACCTTTTTGTAAATAGTCACATGTAAAGTTGTCACCATATTTAATTCCATTATTTTCCCGTCTGGTTTCATTTGCGAGAAAAGCGTTAGGGTGTTGCACACGAACAAGGTGAAACCACAAGTTAATAGCTAAAAAAGTTCTTATGGCTAATTCTGTATCACAACTTTTGTTAAAACTGTGGATCATTGCAGCAAATGATCTATCAACTATGTGCATAAGGTCGCCACACTCATACCTCTCCTAATTCAAGTGGTCCTAAACATTCCATCACACTTTACAGTTCAATTTTGCATGTAGATGAACAAATTTAAGCGCTTGATAATATTTATGGACAAATTGATCCTAATTTTAAATGTTATTTTGTTTTTATATAAGAACCGTAAAGTTGCCTTTCATGTGAGCATAAATTTTGGCACGGTTTAATATTAAAATTTTAAAAATCTATAAAATAGAAATCAAATAATAATTCTCTAGCTTTAATATAAACGAGTTTGCATAACACGTGGAGAAATAACCTTAAAATTGTAATAATGTATGTATCTAAAACAGTAATAGCCGGGTCCAAAACCCTTCAATCTGCAGCTCTCACTTCACTCTGCATCTTTCACTTCACTCCTCCCTAATCTGCTTGTAACACAATGATGATGGCAGGGGCATCCAAAACCCTAACAAATCTTTACCCCTCTTTCCCATTTACAACCAAACCCCAAAACCCACTCATCACAAACAACCCAAACCCCTCTTTCCCTTCTTCTCGCCTCCGCCACCGCGCCACTTTTGCGGTCGCCAACCTTGTTCAACCTCCAACCATCGCGACCGAGTCAACCACGCCGGGTCAGTACCGAGTCGACGTGCTATCTGAATCGCTCCCCTTCATCCAGAAATTCCGCGGCAAAACCATAGTTGTCAAGTACGGCGGTGCCGCCATGAAGTCCCCGGAGCTTCAGGCCTCCGTGATCAATGACCTGGTCCTCCTCTCCTGCGTGGGTCTCCGTCCCGTCATGGTCCATGGCGGCGGCCCCGAGATCAACTCTTGGCTCGGCCGCCTTAACATCCCCGCCGTCTTCCGCGACGGCCTCCGCGTCACTGATGCCGATACCATGGAGATAGTCTCCATGGTCCTCGTCGGCAAGGTCAACAAAACCCTCGTCTCCCTCATCAACAAGGCCGGCGCTACCGCTGTCGGGCTCTCCGGCCTCGACGGCCGCCTCCTCACGGCCCGCCCCAGCCCCAAGGCCGCCCACCTCGGATTCGTCGGAGAGGTCTCTAGAGTCGACCCCGCCGTCATCCGCTCCCTCATCGATACCAACCATATCCCGGTCGTTACCTCCGTCGCCGCTGACGAGTTCGGACAGCTCTACAACATTAACGCCGATACCGTTGCCGGAGAACTGGCGGCAGCGATGGGAGCGGAGAAGCTGATTCTGCTGACCGACGTGGCGGGGATCCTGGAGGATCGGAACGACCCCAACAGCTTGGTGAAGAAGATCGACATAAAAGGAGTAAAGAAAATGGTGGAAGAGGGAAAAGTTGGAGGTGGAATGATACCTAAGGTTAATTGTTGCGTGAGATCGCTGGCACAAGGGGTTACTACGGCGAGTATTATTGATGGTAGGGTTCCTCACTCTTTGTTGCTCGAGATTTTAACTGATGAAGGTGCTGGAACTATGATAACTGGCTAACTTTTTTTATGCTTTTTCTTGTTATTTATTCCCATCCTTTCTTTTCTTTTCCAATCGTGTTTGTGCTATACCTTCATTTGAGGTTGCATTGCAGCACTTATTTTGTTATATTTTTTATTGTTTAAGTGCATGTAATGTAGAAAATAGAAGGTCGTTGATCCATCAAAATATTGTTAGCATAAAATGCTGATTCATTGGCCGTCTCTGTATAGTCAAATATTTGAGTGATTTCTTGGATCATTTCCAAGAGACAAACAAATTGGGTTAATAAATTCCAATATACACCTGGGCTAGTATCACTGCAAACATAAGCTTGTGGACAAACCTTTTCTGTGTACTTTTGCATTGCAAGGAGCCTTTGGCTATATACATTACCAAAGAAATTAATGGATTCTGCAAATTTTGATTATGAGCATTTTTTTACAAGGGCTATGATATGCATAATAAAAAGCTTGCAGAATTTTCTTTTACTTGCCCCCTTTTTGTTAATCCGTGAGATCTCCTTCCTTGGGGATTCTAACTTCAACCTTTGACCCAACAAAACCCCAAAAGTTTTAATAATTGGATAGTATCAGCAATTTATGGGGATGATCATACAGAGCAAAGCAAACTGAGAGATTGTTAGAAATATCAACCAATGTGTGATTACTTATCACATGAAATGTTTTTAGCCGTCAATGATTCACTCAGTCTATTTCACATGTGGCACGAGTTTATCAATGGCCACTGCTTTTTATTGTCTACTTTTCTCTCTCGCGATTTTAACTAATGCATGTGTTGGTACTGTAGGGTTTGAAATAAGTTATGTTAGACTTTGTCTAAGCTTAGATTAACATGCGGTAACATCCCGTTGTTTTGTAGGCTAATGGATTTATCACATTAAAAACAGTTAAAACCACACAAATTGATTGAATTTTATAGATACTAAAACTAACTCAAATTAGAGACATAACAATTTAATTGTTAAATACCTATCAAGTGTAGTGAGTTTTTTTAACCCAACTTAATTAAAATAAGTAAATAAAGTCTGAGTATGGTCCTTTTGCGAAAAGTTTTTTTATTTTTTGCACTCTTTTCTACTGGCATACTTGTTTTAGTTTCTATAATTACTTTTAAAAATATTATTTCCTAAAAACTAATCTGACATATTTGTATTATTGATAAATATTTTACTATCATTAAATTCAATTCTGAAACTAATTTCCGAAACATAGTATGCAGAAGCTAAATTGGGAGAGGGGTAGTGATTGGTAGATGTTTCGAAATATACTTTGCAGAATGTGGTAATATACAGTGAAAAATTACATTCTCAAAAATAAGGCAAGTACTCAAAAGTAAGGTACTTATATTTTGATCAAAAACATGTTTTGATTATTATATTTTTGTCTTAAAGCTAAGTTGTCAAAATTAGGTAGAACTGAAGCGAAATGAAAAAACCACAGGTAATTTGGCACAGAACGATAAACCACACAAGATGAAAGAAGGCAAAGTTCTCCAAATTGTGCTCCTATTCTAATTTGGGCTTGGGCCGATTGTAATTGGCCATAAGGAATTCATAAAAGTCCAGTATAACTAGTCTTATTACTCGTTCAATGGATTGTGTTATATATTCAAAGATTAATTATATGACTTAAAAAAGTAATAAATATGTAAAATATGATAAATGAAATATAATATTATTGAAATTACATATAATAACAACTTATATATCAATATATTATTTTAAAATATGCATTTGAGTAAAATTAAAAATAAAATTAGTAACAAGAAATAGTATATTAATATTAAACTATTTGTAACTCATAGAATTTGATATGTTATAAGGTCTTTAAAACCCTTTTTTTTAGATTATATTCTTTGTTGATGTAAATACATCTCTTTTTTTATCTATAATCATGTGTAAACACATGTGAAATATAAAGTCATACATTTTGTAATGATTGTATTTGTTTATTGTTAGTGTAAATCATAATAACGAAAGAAAATATTTTTTTTATGATTATTGAGGGAAATTAAATCTTTTTGGTATAAATGTTTTGCCAATCATTTTTTTTTTAGAATCACATTTGTTGAAATAATTTTTTTTTAAATCTAGTTTTATTATAAACATTAACTTGATTAATATTTCTCAAAAACATAAGACATTAATTTTTAATCTAAGTTTGAAATTTATCAACATTTAAAATTTGTTTAGATTTGTTTCTTCACCAAGTAATAAAGATAAAATAAATTTATTAACCTCTTCTACATATTCAATAGTTGAGCAAAATATTCTTTCCATGAAAGAAACCATGAAATTTTGCATATTATATAAAATTAAGATAAACAAATTCAACTAATGAAAGGAAAAATGTGCCATTATTTTTAATTAAAAGATTGTATTCTTATTTTTTTTAGGGTTAAATATGATTTTATTTTCTTGTGCGGTATTTTGTTTTATCCCTAAAAAAATTCACTTGTATTTTATATCTGAAAAATAAATATTGATTTCGGTTGTTACTATTTTATTTATCATTTTAATATATTTATTTTTTGTTTTAGTCCCTTTAAAATATAAATTACTTTTTTATAGTTTTTGACAAATATGTTTCTGGGTACTAACTTCAGCGCGAAAAAAAAAAACTAAACTAAAAATAATAAAATATCATAAAAACTAAAATATATTTGTAGTGTAATATGATTAATTATCATCTCCTTAATAATAAGAATCTGTATCCTTTATCAAGGAATGAGTGTAACATATATTCTTTGTAAGTCACCTATTCTATGTTCTATTGTGATATGATTGTCCAAAATCACTAACAATGAGCAACAAATGTTTTTATAGTAGATCTACTATGTTTTTTTTTTTAATCTTGCGTTGATTTATTTAGTATGAGCAATTTGTGTGTCCAATGCATATATAAATCTCTTGTCAACGAAATAGTTGAGCAATGGGATTATTATTGTCTAACATATATTTTAACTTTTGAACAATTATCATATTAAGCTATATTTTATCCATCAGTCGAATAACTTAATATTTTTTGGACTACTTTATACAGTAAACATAAAGTTGAGAGAAATTAGGTATTATTAGTTAAAATATCTTTTATATATAGATATACATAGATAATTTGTTTTTAAATAAAATGAAAATGTAGGTTTTAATAAGATAAAGTCTCCTTATTGTTTGTATTTAAGATTTAAATAAAATTAAATTATAAATAAAGTATACAGATATATGTACACGTAATAATTATTATTTTAATTTTATTTGTATTTGTTAATTAAAATGAAATACATAATAAGCTAAAACTTACTATTAAATATAAATTTATTTATCAAAATTACATATAATTAACATTAATTTCAGAAGTTTAATTCTTCATTAGATATAATTGGAGACATTGAATTTAATTTCATCCCATGATGATTATAAAACTGAAATTTCGTTCTCGGATTAGAATAATTTCAAATCTTATTTATAATATAGATATTAACATTCATAATACCAAAACTTCGTTCTATTAATTTGTTTGGCTAGGTCCAAGCTAGACACTTTATTAATTAAAGAACTTAAACAATATTTTGTGGTAAAGAATAATCTGTACCACAAGATATTAATCTCCATTGATGTTTCTTAGTGTTCAATGTTTTTACAATTAATTTTTTCCTGCTAAGACAATCATCTCCTCCTCTCTATTTATTTGTTTTGATTTGCTTTCTAATTTCATTTTACTAAAGTAAATCGTGAAGACTACAACAACCAAAAGTTGATGGTTGGGTCCCTCACTCTTCACTACTCTAGATGTTAACCGAAGATGAACCACGGTAAATTCCCAAATTTTATTTCATTCAACTTTCTTTTCACACTGAAGGATGTCCATGTTGTTGCATTTGTTTCTAGTCAGTCATGCGCTGAGGTTGCTGCACTCGTTTTCTTAGATTCATGATGGGTTACGGTAAACTAAACAGCATAGAGATTCTTTAGCCATATCTATATATTACTCAAATACTTAAGAAATTTCTAGGATCTTATCCAAGAGAGAGTTTTTGTTCATGGATTCGGAGGCAAATATTGGAGAAGCAAAAAACTACATATAATGATAATCCTAGAAGAAGGATGGCTCCTTCAAATCATCCAAATTTTGATGACACGCATTCTATTCTATGCCCACTGCTCGCCTTTCTTGCTTTACCCAAAATGCAGGTTGATTCCGGCACTATATAGACTCAGACAAATCGGTCTTCCCTTCATGTACTTCGTCCTCTGAATCTGATATCATGATTGATTCTAAAGCAGAATTGCGGGTGGGTCTTTGTCTCAATGTTTGCTTTGTAGTTAAGCCTCTACTTTCTAAAATAGCGAGGCTAGGAATTCCAGCTAGCCGCTTGCTGCAGCGAACCCCCTTGGGATAAGAAACTGCATGGCTTGAGGGAGCTTCTGAGTTGCCCAACTCACCATCAACATCATCTTCCTCGCTGCTACCATAATTCTCAACTTCAGAACCAACATCATCATCACTATCAGATATTTGCAAAACATCCCGTTCAGAATCACTGTCTGTTGAAACATCTTTCGTGTTGGATGGATCTTCTGATCCTCTGGTTTTATCTTGGTCGGCGACAGGAGTCTTTTTCCTTTTACTGAATATTAATAATTATACAAGCAGAGTCAGATAGAAACGAATACAACAAGAAAAATTCAAACCACATTTAAATAGTAGCATTTTAGACTTCGGCAGCAATAACATTGCCCAATCAAAGCCAAAACAGGCTTTTCTCAATCACATCCACTTCATCTCAGAATGAGCATGTGTGACAAGGCAATAATGTAAAAGCAGCAAGTATAAGTAGAAAGTAAAATTTTATTTCTCTTCCTTTTTCGTTTCATTTTACAGTTGAAAAAAATACATTTTGCAGGAATAATCCTACACTACAAAGCAAACAGAACATTGATAACAAGGTAGAGAATATTATGTAAAACATACTTTGTCAGCTGTATTGCCTCCTTCATCGTTCGATCGTAAGCTTCTGCAATAAGACCCAAACAGAACTAATTAAAATCTGAACTTTTTAATTGATATTATGAAGAGGCAACGGAAAGAGTCAAAACAAACTTATACTCTTTTTATATTACATATCTTACCAAATGTATAACAAATAGGCCTTCGAGTGCGACAAGCACGTGTATTTCCAGAACAATATGAGTTCCGAACATCCTTTAACAGCATATCCTGCCTCTGTTTTTGCTTTATTGCTCTTTCTTTCTTCTGGACAAATCAAAGATGATATTTTCTTACATCAATATCACAATGTGGGCATTCATTAGAGTGAATGTACACCTATCAAACACTAAAAAAAGGGGATGTCCATACCTTCCGAAGCTTTTCAAGAGCAGGAATAGCATCGCTCTTAAGCTTTGTGCTAACAGAAACTTCCACAGCAGACTTGCTGAGTGAGAATTTTTCCTGCAATTAACATTTAAATACAAAGTTAATGAAAGGCTTCAAATCCAGGGGAGAAGCATGAAAAAGGTAGTAAAATTGATCTTACTTACAGCTACTTTAGAAAAATCTTCAAGATTGGAAGCAAGGGTTTCCCATTGAATAGTGGGAAGCGATAAACGCCTGTCATCCTTTTCTTTTGGAATTGAGTCTAATGTAATAACTTCCCTGTATAATCTGTGACTACGACCTTCTGAAGTTGCATCATACCTATAAGAAAAATAGACGCATTAGCAATGACAATATTAAGGTTTTGAGAATCTTAAAGATTGGAGCATATTTTAAAAATGGAAAAATTACCAATAAGATGTGCCAGTTCTATCTCTTCCTAAGGCATCTTTGCGAAAAGATGAAATTTGAGTTCCTTCTTTCAAAGCATCATTTATGTATGACACTGCATCATGTTGCTGAATGTAAACAAACAACCAAGCAAAATAATTTACATCAGAAAAAATAAAACAGCAACATAGAAGGGGTGGAAACATCAAAGATGATATCAGTAACATAGACTAGGAGGATTGTGTCATGAGAGTTCAAAAAGTATTATATTAACTTATTAAATAAACAAAAATTTAAAGAAACCAATCAGGAGATAATAATACATCAGCTCTAACTTCACAAAGCGCTTTTAGCAGTAGTAAACGATCTGACGGATCAATTTCCTTGTACTGGGATATCTCATGTCTGCACAAGCATTGATGACAGCAGTTTTACTAAAAAGATTCATTGCAATTAGTAACAATATGACATTATGAGTGCATCTCAGTACCCTTTAGATGGTACAAGTGGAATCTCCCCCTCAGCAACCTTGTAGCACATATCCAAACAGCACATGTAAGTAATACAATCAGAAATGGGAAGACAATAGAAAAGGCAAAGTCAGACACAATGTCAGTGATTACCCATGGCCACCACATAATAAGTTTCTTACAGAGTGCAGTCACCCACTTATCAGAATCCTCTAGCGTTTTACTCACAGGTGGCATTCCCTGGCAGGAACAAAGTCAATGCTAAATCCAAAAAAACAACGAAGCATATAGCAATATATATCCAATTCTAAAAAAATGATAGGATAAGAAGGCATCAACAGAAAAATAAAAACCGTATGAAAGAGTAGAATAGTATCATTGATTTGAGGGAGTCAACCAATTTACAGAATTAGTATATTAAGTTCCCCAGTAAAATACATTTCCCTATTATATTTTGGGCTATCCTTACAATTTCACGGGCAAAAGAAAAAATGTCTACTCATATGTCTCCATTGGACTTGGAGTACTTTGGACAATGGATCTAATGCACATTTGGGAATTTATATTAAAATTCAAGGATGCATTTCAGTAGCAGTTTGATTTTAAGAAGGACATGAATACAAAGTCATTGAATAGTGTTACAAGTAAAAGCATATAAATTGGAGCATTGAACAAAATAAACTCAGCTTATACACACAAAACAGTCACATCAATCTAGTAATTTTCACCCTCCAACACTTCTTACCCTTCAAGACACTACGAGCAAGGAAATGGACAAACGTGTAACCACGTCTCCAACCATTCTACGTATCAGAACTCCCTAAAAACATGCGAAATTTACCTTGCAAAAATTACATTTGCACAAGTCCCCCATCGTATTGTCGATACCAATAGCATGCACAGACACATCAATCAATAACTTTCAAAAAAAAAAAAAAAACTTTTTTTCACACACTCTAGCATCTTTCAACAATGAGGAAAAATAACTTACTTTCAAAAGCTGAATATGAAGCCGAGCAAGGGAAGCGTCAGGCTTAACAAGCCCAATCTCAATATCCTCAGCAGAGAGTTTCAAATCTTTTCCAATTATCGGACCAAATACCTGAACAACGGCATCACATGCATAATAAATAACATAAACATTAGTCCCTCTACTTTCACTAAGAAAGAAAACAATGCCATGCAATCTTTTTAGCAACATCGCCATCTAACTGATACAATTTCAATCTCCAATAAATTAAATTTCAGATCTCTTACATCCAAAAAGTTGAGAACAGACGCGAGTTCCCAGCGTCCACGCAGATTTACAATTTCCTTCTCCAAATCATTCCCTTCATAATTTCGGTCGAGGCTGTCACCTTCTTTTGCTGCCTGCATTGTCGCTTCAACTAGGAGGAAAAATTGTTGAAAGAAACAATGTAAAATTTAGAAGAACCAAGAGTTGTATGATATGTGTGAGGAAAAAAATAAATATAAATAGTGAAAGATTTCTGTGCTGTTTCCCGCTCAAGTACTTTTCCCACTTTTTACCACTTCAGGGTTTAACATCTCACACTGTTGTAATTTTTAGGTTAATTTCAGGATCGCGCCTTCTAAGTTTCATTCCCTCCCCAGTTAACTAAAACGCACAGTTCCACCATGATAACTAAAACGCACGGTTCCACCATGATAACTAAAACGCACAGTTTCATCGTAATGATAAATTGTGAGTGCTGATTACCATGGTAAAATTCGGGTAAATTGGATCTTGACATGAAATTTGTTAGTTATTTCTGTTTTTCATGAACAAGGTCATACAAAACAAACAATAAATATTATTTTAATTACTACTAGTTATAATTATTTTTTATAATTTTATCTTTTAATACTTTAGTACTATCTAATAACTTCTATTATCCAATGATATGAACATACACGTTCATGTGTTAATAATAATTATTATTATTATTATTTATATGATTATGTTGATTTTTAACATGTTAAAATTTTGTTTTTTTTTTAAATTTTACTAATGAATTTTTATTTATATTTTAATTATAAAAGTCATAGTGAATTTTATAATTAACTTGTACTATTATTTATAATTAAATAAAAAATATTATTGTACATTAAAATTTTAAGTATTTCATTCAAGTTTAGATTTTAATAACTTAATTAATAATTTTTTATAAAGTAATAAAATGAAAAAAAAATTATTAAGTTTAAAAAAATTATTTTAAATACATTATTCATCACATTATATACTATTTATAATAATTTTGAGAAATTAGAATTATGTGTAATAAACCATCAATAAATCTACGTTACTAAAACAAATTAAACAACACAAAAAAGTTAACATTTTTATCATGGACTCGCAGTCAATAAACTCTAGTAATATATTGAAATTTTTGTTAGATTAATTTCAAATTAAAAAAAAACATAAATTACTATACTATTACTTTACACTTAACTTCTCATAATAATTTATTTCAATAAATTTATTTATTTCTTCTTATAATGGAAAACTACATTTTTGCATTTATTTCAATAAATTTATTTATTTATAATAGTTTTGTATCTATTTAAATTATGTAATATTTGTTATGTTTGTATTTATTTATAATAATATTTTGGTAAATTTTATTATTTGATTTATTTCTAATTGTAGTTAAAATTCACAAGTCCTGCTGCTCTTCTCTTGTAAAATTTCACTATTCTTCTTGCCATTTAACAAGTGATTTTATTGATTGAGTAATAAATATGTAATTAAATAAATAATATATATATATATATATATATATATATAATTTTTATATGTCGATGGACAATATACACTAATTATATATATTCCTCGGCTTATTTTCAAGTTTTTATTATTTAATTTATTTGTAATAATATACTAGCCTTTGATTTTATTCTTTTATTATTATTTAATATAACATGATTATTTTTTTATTTAATATATTTTTAGTTATATAGCAATTTTTTTATGTTTTATTTATAATAATATACTATTCCTATTATTTTACTAATTTTATATGTTATTGTTATTTAAATTATTTAAAATAATATTTTGTATTTTTATTTTGTATTTTTTTTATTTAAAATATTTTTAGTAATATATTGTTTAATTTAAATTAATGTTTTTACTATTTATTTGTTTTCAATATCAATAATGCATTGGTCTATGTCAAAATATTTAGTTATTTAAAGCCCTTACTTTAGTTCTTAATTTATATTTTATTATTTGTATTATGTTAAGTGTGTAAGTTATTTTATATAATAAATAAGATATACACATGATGTGTCTTTGTAGTCACCAATTGACTATTGAAACTCTATTTAGGCTTTAAAATATGTCTTTTAACTTTAATAAGTATCATAAGTTCTATTATGAGTTAGGTCTGTCTCTTTGTGTGAAGTTAAGTATGAATCCACATATTTGATGTGTTGATGAAGTGATATCAAAATTTTCAATTTTTGTTTTTTTACAAATCTCAAGGTTTTTTTTTTTTTGTCACGTCACAATTTTATTGATACTCAGAGGCTTGTAAATACACACTCATTTGTATGTTTTTATTTTTTAGTTTACATCACATGAGTAGAAAAAAAAAAGTGCTCATAAAATTTTGAAAAGTCTTTTTCTTGAATAATCTGTGAACAACTTAAACTTTTATTCACTTTGATGTGAAACCATGTTTTTAAAATAAAAATAATAATATTGTGCGGAGTCTATGATAATTATCTACATATATTTTATTATATATTAAATAAATGTAATTATATATATATATATATATAATACATGTAATTACTATTTTTTAAATAATACCTTTCCAAAATTTCAATTAAAAAATTCTGTTTCTAATCAAGTAAAAAAATATTTTCAATATTAAAAATCTTACTATTTTTATTTCGTATGTTAAAGTAAGTATTTGTTTGTTTATTTTGTCTCTTTCTTTTTTATTAATTATATATCATATTTTAACTTTTTTGGTAAAATATATAAATTATAATAATTATTTTTACTATATATTTTTTATTTTTAATAAAATAATAAACATTTTTATATATAATTATAGATATTATTACGTTTTTTTTTAATTACAATAATGTCATGTTTATTGCATCGCTTCATATAATCTTAAAATAAAATAACATAATTAGAGATAATATATATAGCAAAATAATTACATGTAAATTTAATAATTAAATTAAATATTAATATAAACACTAAATTTTTAAGATTAATATGTCCTTATTATTTTTTGGATGGAATTTTCAACATCTTATACTTAAACTAGTGAGGTGATGTGCATTACTGAGGTGATGTTCCAAATATATCACAATATTTTTATATTAATAAGTTAATTTATATAGTACTATTATTTCAATAAGATTACTAATTAAAACGCTTCAATTTTCCATTAAAACGTATGCATGAATTTTGAACTCCATTCATGTCTTTATTACGGGATCTTCTGACTTCAATAAAGAGTAATTTAATGCGTTAAGAATATTTTGGTACTATGTATTAAATTTAGAGTTATAGTTTTTTAATTATTATATTTTAAACTATCTCTTATAACACTTTGACTTTGTGAGAACAAATGATTGGAGAGGAGATTTTTGTTTTTGTTACTATATTTACATGTTACTTTTATTTGTAGTTTTGAATTTTCTAACAGTAAATTATGTTATAAAACCTTATTGTTGTCAATTATGTTAACATATTTTAACAAAAATAATAATAACATAAACTATTTTCATAAAGTACATAGACGGAACAACAAAATTACAGGAATAATAAAAATCCAATATAATACATATATAAATAATAAGATTAACAGGTGATCAGTTTTCTGGTTTTATGTGTATTATAATAATCTAGTCAAATTTTATGTTTAAGGTATTGTTCATTTTTAAGTTGTAGTGTGTTATGATTTTGTTTTTAAAAGTCATTAATGATTGAGAGTGTCCCGGTGTTTAAGGTCGAGAGTAGAATCTCGCACCACTTATATGTACTCTTTAGTTTGGACTCATGAAGTCCCACATCATGATCAATAGTAGTTTAAATACACCTTTCTCCCTTAACCTACCGTGAGATCGAGAGTGTAATATTATTCTACTCATATATATCACACTTAGTCAAAGGCCAAGAGTAGAGTCTTACTCTCACTAGGAGGTTTATGTTCCGGTACGCTTGTGCACTCGTACATACCCATTAAACTGGGTCAAGACTTGTTTCATTCATACATACCCTTTAGTCTAGACTCATGAAATCCCATGTCATGACCAATCGCTCCATTCTTCCTTAGTCCGGACTCATGAAGTTCCACATTGCGACCAATGATAGTTTAACTACACCCTCCTCCTTTAACTCATCGTATAGAGTCTCGCTCTACTAGAGAGCAGACTCATATCTTAACTCACCATATAGAGTCTCGCTCTACTAGATAGGAGACTCATGAAGTCCCACATCACGACCAATTACTTCATTCATACATACCTCTTAGTCTGGGCTCATGAAACCTCACATTGCAATTAATGATAGTTTAAATACACCCTCTTCTCTTAACTCGGGCTTAAGTCTCACATCGTGACCAATCGCTCCATTTATATATACTCCTTAGTTACTGAGCTCATGAAGTCTCACATCGCAACCAATGGTAGTTTAAATACACTCTTATCCCTTAACCCACCGTATAAAGTCTCGCTCCACTAGGGGGTGGACTCGTGAAGTCTCATATCGCGACCAATCGTTCCATTCATACATATTCCTTAGTTTGGGCTCATAAAGTCTTATATCACAACTAATCGCTCCATTCATACATACCCCTTAGTCCGGGTTCATGAAGTCCCACATCGCGACCAATGGTAGTTTAAATACACACTCTTTCCTTAATTCACCGTATAGAGTCTCACTCCACTAAAAAAATTATGTTCCGATACACTCATAAAGTTTCACGTCATGACTAATGAGAGTTTAAATACATCCTTATCCCTTAACCCATTGTGAGATCAAAATAAAATATCGTTCAATTCGTACATATTTCTTTTATTATTGAATAAAAGTAATTTAATATATAATTATTGAATAAAAGTAATTTAAATATACCCTCATTTTTTAAACTAATGAAACTCCATTCATAAATATTTCTTAATTATCGAGTAAAGAATAATTTAAATATGTTTTACACTTTTTTTTTTGTTAGAATGCTTTTGAAAAATATATCAGTAATAATTGATTTTTTTTTAAACATTTTATATTCAGAGATTAATGTAAGTATAAAATCGCCAAGGTGTTTCCGCAAAATTTAACTATTTAAATTGATTTTTCCACTGTAAAAAGATAAATGACAGCACCAATAATCGCTTAACAAAAACTCTCTTGCGTGAACACGGCAGAGTCTCATGTTCCAACCATCTCCTCACTCTGTATTCAATTCTAATTCACCTTCGTCTCTGAGCGAGCAAAGAAAAAAAATCACACCGATACAGTCACACACGTTAAATTCAACCTGTTTCCGATGCAGTGAAATCACAAGTATCATCATCATCATCATCGCAGCGCAATGGGGAGAGAAACGGAAATCCTCTCTCGCCTAGCCGCGAACCACCTCCACCTCGCTCAATTCGAGCCCTTGCGCGGCGTTCTCCTCGCCCTCCGCGCGCGAAACCGCGATTTTGCCCGCGATATTCTCCAAACCATCGTCGCCCGATCGGGTCGGGTCCCGAATGTTGCGTGGTCCAGTTCCTGCTCCTCCCCCGCGCTCCTCACCTTCTTATCCACGCTCGAGTTGCTGCAATTGGATAACGCTTCCTCGGCATGGAACTTTGACTCCGAAATGCTGCGTTTGCGCGCCGAGTTTCTCTTGTTAGTTCAGGATTTGATCGACCGGCTGCCGCAGGGTGATAGAGAGTTGGGGAATTGTAGAAGAGTTTTGGATAGGGTTTTAGAATTGGGCGTGAAGTGGCTGAGAGTGGACGGGGATGGGAGTGAGAGTGTTACTGTAGTTGAAGAAGGAGAATTGGTCAGTTTGAGGAAGTTGATTTTGGATCACGCGCGTGTTTTTGACGCGCTCTGTGGGAATATACATAGGCAAATTAGGCACTGGGACTGTGAGGATTCCGGGGAGGGAAGTGAGGAGTTGGAAGAGGAGGATGTTAGGGTGCTTCGTGGGATACAGAGGACGGTGCAGGTTGTTCATTTGGATGCTATGAGGGAGAGTCTTAAATCGGGTGATGCAGAAGGGGCAGTTTCTCACATACGTTTTTTGCATTTTGATTATGGAGTTGAGGAACAATCTGAGTACCGGTATGCCTCTTTTTTTTTTTTTTTTTGCTATGGTAAGATGTGATGGTTGCTGCTTTTAGAGTTGTGTGGTTTGTTCTATATCTTGTCTAGTGAGTCGGCCATGCTTTTTCTCTTCGAACTTGAAGCATGCATTTGCCTAGGGAATTCGTATTATTCTCCAATGAAGAAATTAGTTCCCTTATTACTGTAATAACAATAGTAAAATTCTAATCGCACTAGGTGAATCCCTTATGATACCGAGTATTTAAAATAAAATGGTGTTTTCATCAACTTCAGGATTTGGAAGCTTATATAGATTTTGTATTTTTATTTATGGATTTTATTTGAACCTACGGAAAAGAAAGCAAATAATATATATGTACTTATATGTTCAGTTATGCTCTACTCTTTTTCTCAAATTTATTTATTTAGATAAAAAGAAGAATAGATAATAACTTGTTTCTTAAGAAGTTAAGAATCTTTCTCCGTCTTTCTTAATCATTTGTTTTTTAGTTCCCTTGCAAAATTTTCCTAGGTGTTCACTCCTGCACCTTCTCTAATTCTTTTGTAGCATAGTTTTGAAAGATCTCCTGAAGGTTGTCTTGTCAAAAAGTGAGAAGTTTGGGGACTCGTGGCTTATCATGCGTAATCAATTGCTACAAATTTATGGGGAAGCCATTTCGTCAAATTGTAGTGACATAGTTCAAATGTTGCAGGTCAGCTCTTCTTTCTCCCAATTTCATTTACATACTTCTTTCTTGAAGATATTATCTTATGAAAACCTTCAGTTAGTAACATACTTCTATTTTTGCATGGTGTAAGATTTCTTTATCATATTGTATTCTCAGAAAGTGCCAAAGTGACACAAAATCACATGTTAAGGAACAAAAAAAGCACAAAGTAATAAGAATTATATAATTCTGAAACACCTCATGTTAAAGAAAGCAGGCTAAACCATTTTTCAGGCTAGCAGAAATTTCTGGGAATGCTTATTGTCTTTTAAGAATCATTTTGATGATTTATTGAATTATTCCAACTTCTGTTTAATAAGGGCCTGTTACGGATAACCATCAATATGTTTTCAGCTTTCTTCCACTTTATTCCTCCATGAGACCAACTTTGAGAAATTGATTCCACAGTCACTCATCAATTCATTTTGTCTTGTTATTACGAGATTAAGTGTCTTACTTTTGATAAAATGAGTTTACAAGATAGAGTTTCCCCTTAGCCATTTAATATGAAAGAAACTTTATTTTGTCTAACTATATTAAATGTCAATACTTTTTTTTAGAGTATTCATGACGAGCTATTGTCTGAAGAGATTGAAATTGATAGAGCTCAAATTGAGTACTTCATTCCACGTCCTCTTGTAAGGTTTCAAAAATATCTAGAAGATGTGAAGTCTGGGAAGAATTCAGATGATAAAGCTTTATTCATGAATGAGGTAATCAGGTATTGCAAGACAGATATGTACCATTATGCCCGAGTTTCTGGACTACATGTTCTTGAGTGTATTATGGATACTTCCCTGTCTGCTGTGAAGAGGGAGCAGCTGGATGAAGCTAGCAATGTATGTACCCATCTTTGTTATCTCTATCAATGTTCCTTTGTATAAAAGTTGATGTTGTATCCATTGTTATATGAATTCCCAAAGTCTCCCCGTGTAGTTCTTCTACTTCTTACTTCTTGTTTGTGGCAGATCCTCCAATTGTTTCCACTACTTCAGCCTTTAGTAGCAGCCATGGGTTGGGATTTATTGGCTGGTAAAATAGCAGCACGGAGGGAATTAATGCAACTTCTCTGGACAAGTAAGTCACAAGTAATTCGGCTTGAAGAATCTTCTCTTTATGGTAATAAATCAGATGAGGTATTTTTCGACTTTCATGTTTTGAAATGCGTTTTGTTGGTACTAAATGAACCAGTTGATGAAATTTTAGTGAAAAAACTTATTTAACTGTGGCAGATGTCCTGTGTGGAGCATCTATGTGATACTTTATGTTATCAGCTTGATCTCGCCTCTTTTGTTGCTTGTGTGAATTCTGGCCAGTCTTGGAATTCAAAATTCTCATTAATGCTTTCTGGCAAAGAGCAAGTGAAACTTAGCGATGAAGATGCTTATTCTGATCCTTTTGTTGAGAATTTTGTGTTGGAACGACTTTCAGTCCAGAGTCCTCTTCGGGTAATATTTTATGTCAAATTTAGGGCTTTTTAATCAGTATAATTGGAATTATTGTTTATCCTTGGAGGGGTTACAATTGAGACTTCTTTGTGATATTGAATATTTGAACTTTAGTTTATTTATTTTTATTTTTTTTGTTGTTGTTGTAAATATAACAATATAAATCAGCAACAGTTGCTGGGACTGCCTATATTATTATAAAGATGAGAGAGTTAATATATATTATATACATTAATGTGTTTTGTTTTGACCACTATTGTCTTGGATGTTATTCCTCCTTTGTTTTGGTAACAATGTATAAACTATCATGTGACTGCAAATTCATTGATGCCATTTGACAATATTGTACTCTTTGATCTTTACATAGTGGATCTAAATTTGTACATGAAGAAGAGATTCGAGTAGGAAAGAATATGATTGTTGATATTTAAAATCATAAAGGACAACTTCTAAGCCTTAAATAACACTTAATTACTATAAAACTGCAGCCTTTGTTAAAGGAAATATAACAAATGTTGATAATAATAACACTTTTTAATGAAATATTTCGGGATTTATCTGAGATTTACTGGACTATGAAGTATGAATGTTGAAAATGCTAACATCATCTTCTCTGTAGGTACTATTTGATGTTGTTCCAGGTATAAAATTCCAGGAAGCCATTGAATTGATTACTATGCAGCCAATTTCTTCTACTATAGAAGCTAGGAAGAGGTGTGTTTCTGATGTTTTTTTCTCTCAAGGACAGCTTTTACAGTCATCTGGTATTAAGATAGATACTTTTTAAGTGGTTGGTTGTGCTGAGTTTGCTTGTTAATAGATAAGAATCCAGAATAAGAGTATAGTATATTTTTCAGGGAGAAATACAAGAAATGAAATGCTTTAAAAAAAGAATGATGCTGAGAAGTGAGAATTCATTTTGTTTTCTTAGTGTGCAAATGTGTGCAGTTGCACTTAATAAACTTATATTTTCCATCCTAGAAGTTCTGTTAGTATATTTTTTTCTTATAGGAAAAGAAAATTTTATGAAGACCTTTAAGAAGTATAAAATACCTTTTGACGTCCAAAGCCAATATAACTATTGATAAAGATAAAATTTTATTGACCAAATAATAGGGAAATATGTAAAGAACTTGCCAATTTACTGAAAGGCACTGTATGATTTGAGGGTTTGCACCTCTCAATGTGCAAAGGCCACAGTCCTCTCAAATTTAGACAATAGATCTTTATCTCCACATCCCTTCCTATTTATAAAAGACATGCCTTACTTCTTCAATCAACTATTCTAACTAGCTAACTAATGCAACTTGTAGATTTTGGACTTAAGACGTAAGGTCATCTCTATAAAACTGACTTATGAGGTGAAAGTTTTTCAAGCTTCATGAAGACCTTGCCATATTTTTGGTTGGTGCAAGATCCCAACTCATTCTTTCACATCTAGGACTAGACATTTGGAATCTGAACAAACATGAGTGACACAAATACAATAACACTTCATGCGTAGAATTAGACATGTAGAGTATAGACAAATATGGGTGATCCAACAAGGGATTTAAAGTGGAATTTTATACCAACTTAAAATTTGGACTTAGATTTAACTCAATCTTGCAAAATTGACTTGTTAGATATATATTATGCAGACTTTATAAGGACTACATTGACAGTGCAAGAATGAATGATTCTTAAATGCCATAAGATTTCCAGTATAACTAACTGATGGGTATGTATCAAGATCAATCTAAACAAGAAAAAATTTGAAAATGAATGTTTCATTAATGCCATAAGATTGTCATTATCTTTTCATACTAGTGTTTATTATAGAATTAAAAAGAATAGTTTTCCTATATCAACACTTTCACTTCCGTAATAGATTCATGTCCTTTCACGAATATGATGTTTAATTATTTTTTTACCCAAGTAATATTTAATTATTTTAGATGAGATAAACTTACATGAATGATAATTTTGACACCTATATGTGCATTTTTTATTAAACAACTTTGCATTGGGTTCTTTTCATACATTAAATTCAAGAGTAGTGCTAGGTCCAAACCTTTTTCTTTTCTACACCATTTGGTTTGTCTTGATTCAGTTGTATCATCTCTTCTTTTGTATTGATATGTAACTTGATGATATTGAATTTGGTACAAGCCTTACTTGGGTGGCCTGACTTTCTTGACATTCATTCTAATGCGGCATTGTAATAATATGTAATCTTTTGTGCTAACAATTTGTTTTGTTCTTTCAGCCTTATTTACTTTTCTGATTTTTTTTTCCTTTGGCATAGGAAGCAAGATATAGAACTCATGCATATGCGTTATGCTTTAGAATCAACTGTTCTTGCTTTAGGAGTAATGGAAAGGAGCATGTCTGATGAAGTAGAAATCCATCAAGATGTGCCATTATTTCATTTAAAGGACTTGCAGAATCATATGAATGCAATTAATAATCTTCCACGCAAGGTAAGTCCCTTTTCAATTATTTTATTTTTCTATTTTTTTTTCTCTATTTGCTCCCTTGATAATATCATAATTTGTAAGCTATTCTCTTCGTGTATGTTTTATAAGATTTTCTCATAATCTTATCCTCCTCACTCTACACATGTGTTTTTTATTTTTCATATTTTTATTTTGTGATAATTTTTTCTCTTTATTACTTTCATTTATTTAAAATATAAAAAATATATTGTATTTGTTTTCATTAAAATAAATGTAAGGCAAAAGTTTTTGTAGGATGTAACTTACCTTGTACCAGTGTCTAGTTGTGAAAATTATCAAGTAGCATTTATGTGGCATGATACAGCTAAGAAAATAAGGTCTATGTGACGATTGTTTTTCATTTTCTGAGATCTTTTGACGTTTATGGCATTTAATGTTTAAAGTGTTGATATCAATTGTTCAAAGACTATTGATTTCTTTTTCCAGTTATTATTATATTGTGTTTATCTAACACCAATTTTTCAATGTAGATTTTGATGGTGAATGTCATTATTTCACTACTGCATATGGATAACACCTCTGTTAACCTGATGCATTGTGGATCACCAGGAAGCAGTTTCAAATTACCCAATGCATGGTCTTCTGAAGATAGTTGTTCAACTAGAAGTGAAGGGGGCAATGAAATGGTTATACCTTTTACTGGTTTGCTACTTGATATATTGGGGCATAATATTCCATCCTCTATGATTGAATTAGAAAACACACTAGATGATTGTGTTAGCACAACCAGCAGACAGGCCCTTGAGTGGAGAATCTCAATCTCAAAACGTTTCATTGAAGAGTGGGAATGGCGTTTGTCAATTTTGCAGCATCTCCTACCATTATCTGAACGCCAATGGAGATGGAAAGAGGCACTGACAGTGTTACGTGCAGCCCCCTCCAAGCTACTCAACCTGTGAGTTTTACCTGTTTCAAATACACGAAATTCTACAAATGTGCAATTTCATGTTTGTGTTTTTTGGTAATGAGTTACACATGAAAGGTTCATAGTTACAATAACTCAATAACTTTATTTTTTTCTATTCTTGTTATTAAAAATATTTAATACTCTCTCCAGTCTTTTTTATAGGAATCAATCTAGAGTGTCTTCTGAATTTTGTTTTACCAAAATACCCATAAAATTGTGAGTCATTTCTTTACATTCTATAAATAATAGGCATGGATATATTATTGAGGAGTGAGATTAAAACAATAAGATTCAACACATTTTTTGGAAAAAAAAAAAATAGTAATGTATCTTATGAATATCAAGACAATTATGAAAAAAAAAAAGTAAATTTAAGAAATTTTAGGGCTAGTAACTAAATTAACTAATTTTCTTAATCATAGTGAATAAGTTAATTGGGTCTAATAAAAAGGACCGGAGCGAGTAGTGCACTATATGATGGGAGTTTATTGGCATGCATGTGCACTTTGCTGAGGGAGTGTACCTTCTGATGTAATTTATATTTTTTGGTTCTATTTTCTTTTCTTGGTGTTTGGTTCTTCTGTAATAGATTTTGCTAAGAGTATCAGAAATCTATGGAGTGACCTGCTTGTACTGGTTTTCTTTCTTTTGTTTATTTAGCTGCTTGGGAAATTTACTGTCCTTTTATTTACTTATTTGTCTTAATGGTCTTTTGGTATCTAAGAATCTGATTTTTTTTTTCTTCTTCAGTTGCATGCAGAAAGCAAAGTTTGATATAGGAGAAGAAGCGGTTCATCGGTTTTCACTATCTGCGGAAGATAAAGCTACTCTCGAGTTAGCTGAATGGGTAGATAGTGCCTGCAAAAAAACATCTGTATGTTTTTTGTTGCCTTTAGACTTCCTATAACTGTTCAAGTTATGGTTTTGATTGACTTGTTCTGTCATAACAATGTGCTTGGAAAATTTGGGCAGGACCTAGTTATTGATTTTGCAAATATATACCTTGTATGTTCCTTTACTAGATGATGCTATTTACATTTCTGAAAGTGTTTTTCTCGCAAGTTGCCATTCTTTTTTGTGACAAGAGCTGAAACTTGATGAGAAAAATGAAAATACAGCAGGGAAGGTGTGCAGATAATTTCTAGAAGATGGTAAAAAAAAATAATGGAGGATCAATGAAGCTAGAATTTCAACCAAACTTTTCTTCATCTCTGCATACATAGTGACAGGGAATCTTTCTTAAAAGAAAAAGCTTGGGTGTAGTAGCGGATTATCCTAATTACACTCCTATCTGTACCATTTGTAAGTACAACAAGACAACCTTACAAATGTGGGCTTCTTCCAACCAAGTAATACATTTATAACTGCATAAATTGATTACTAGTATAGAGTTTTTTCCATCTTATTCTTGCCAAAACTGGTGAAATGCCTTATGATAAACTCTTCCTTGGTCAAAAGACTCGGTTATTTGCCAAGTGTTCCAAGCATATTAGTCCATTATAAAGTAGCATCCTGACAATGAAAATATACATAAAGTTGTTCATGAACTGACCTGCTTTGGAGTGCTACTTTCCAACAAAAGCGAAGTTTGGTATTAGGTAGGTAATTGACAGGGGTTTGATTGTTTGATATTAAATTTAGTCTTGGGAAGGCATACGATTGCAGGAAAGGTTTTGGGATCGGTTTACCACATGTCGGATAAGGCTGAACATTTGCTCTTAAAACATGCATGGGCAGACACCAAACAGAAGCCAAAAAACCTGAATCATATTTCAATGCATATCTAAGGGCAACGAAACACCCCATGCATGTTGTGCTCCAATCAAGTACACCAGAAAATGGAGACACTGTTCATTGCCACAGAATTCTGCCCCTTTTCTAATTCTGCCCATGACATTTATAATTAACCAGCAAAAATTGCTCATACTCAGTGAGCATGATAATCACTAGATTGTTCCAAAGAAAGGTGACTGCAACATGCACGTGTTATGTTGTGTAGGAAAGAGCAGTGTGAGGCATGCTCTTTGATTTGCTAAGTTGGTTGTAAATTGAAATATTGATAGGCAGCATACCCCCTCCCAAATCATGGCCTGTATGATTTGTCTCTCATCCTACCCTTTTTCGTGATGTATGTAGCAATTTAATGAGTGTTCTTATAGGTTTTCTATTATATCATTTTCAAATTATCCAATCCTTTATCTCTATATACATATAAAAAAAAAAATATATACTATTTGATTCAATATTAATTACTCAGTTGACTAGTCATGGTTGCAATCTTTTGTGTGGCTTTCTTTGTAGTACGTTCTTAATGATTTCTAATTGCAATTAGACATACTTTTGTTGTATGTTTTGCAGGTTGATGATGTGGTGTCCCGTGTACAGGATTTAGATTTTTCCTCTTTATGCTCCCAGTTGGGTCCCTTGGCTACAGTAAGTGCCTAAAATGATAAGAGATTAATTTATACTTTATTATTTCAACTGAGAAGGGAAAAAATGCTTTGTGTATGGCCGGTTCTGAGAATGTACATTTCTTGCCAGATTCTTCTTTGTATTGATGTTGCTGCAACTTCTGCTAAGTCGGCAAAGATGTCTCATCAATTACTTAAACAGGTGCTTTTATCTTTTTTCAATAGATTTTGAGTGAGGTAATTTTTTTCCCTTGACAAAAGAAATTAATTACCAAAAGGGAAGGGAGAATGGCAAGATGAAATCAAGCAGCAGCAAAAGAGATTTTCATGACACACCTAATTAAGGACTTGATTGAATAGGTGAAGTTTACAAATTGTTGGTCTAGGGAAGTTTGCTTTCTAGTTGTAGAATGTGTGTTTCTCTTCAACAAGCCTCTCATACCTAGGATTGGATATTTTGAGAGTGTGAAGATTGTAGGACTGTTTTTTGTTTTGGCTAAATGACTTATTTTGTCCATCTGTTTTTGTCTCTATTATTTTTAGTATCAATTTGGTCCCACGTTTTTTTAAAGTGAGTCAATGTATTCTCCTCAGTTAACGTCGTTAAGTTGTCTATCAATAGAGTGCAACGTGGTACTGATTTGGCCATGCTTGTTGACTTGACATTGATGTGTATGTCACATCTATACCAACGTGAGATATTATTGATGATGTGTTAGACATGATAGCATAGATGTGTCAAACATGATAGCATAGATGTGATATACACTTCAGTGCCACATCAACAAGCATAACTACGTTCCACTCATTAATTAGACAACTTAACAGTATTTATGGATGGAATAAATTGACTAAGTTAAAAAAAAAAGAGTGGAAATAAATTAACTCTGAAAATAATAGTAAGACGAAATTGAAAAAAAGTGAATAAATAGTGGGACAAAAATGTCATTAAGCCTTTTTTTTATAATGCATTGGGAAAGCCATGGGCCTAGGTATTTTTTTTGGGACAGTTGAGGGTGGTCCCATATCAGATATATGATAGACTTTAATACCATAGTTAATTTAGGTTATACTTAACCTCAAAAGCTAACTTATGAGATGTGCATTGTTCAATTAGTCAAATCTATAATAGACAGGGGATCTCAACATACCTTAACAAATAGGGTGAAGGCAATTCTTATCATTAGTTTTATTCGTTCTTTTTTGGAAGAACTTGGAAATTTCAAGCAAGGGAGAGACTAACCATTCTAGACATATTCATTATTCTATTAGGTAATTTTACTGAGATTGTCACCCAGTTAGCATATTTTATTTCCAAGATATGCTTTTGGATGCTTATGTTGATATCTAGTCCTCTTTTTTTTTCTTTAACTCTTACAAGCTTTTGTTGTGTTGATCAGATGTTTTCTTTGTTATACGATGTGCAGGCTGAAAATATGTTGTCTGATATATATCCAGGAGGATCTCCCAAAGAAGGCTCCACTTATTGGGATCAGATCCTTGAGATAGGGGTCATCTCTGTGTCAGGGCGTCTTCTGAAGCGCTTACACAAGTTCTTGGAGCAGGTGAGGACTTGAATATTATTTAATGGTGTAAGAATCACTTTCAAGAAAGTCAGTATGTTCCTTGCAACTTGCAAGCTATAATTCCCTCCATTGATTTTAAGCATTGACATAAACCAACTACATTACCATGTGAGCTTTTGTTATTTCGATTGAATTGTATGCAAAGAAACAAAATACTTTTATTTTCCTTGGTTAACAGTTTTAGTTTTGAAGTCATGTTTTCCTAGGTTAATTTAGAGTTCAATATCCTCTTTCTCACTGGACAATGGAATTTTTTGCTACTTTTTACTTTGGCAAGTCAGGCTTTACTGAGTGGATTTATTTACGCGCGCACACACACACACACACACACACACACATATATATATATATATATATATATATATTTATATATATCAGAATATGCTGATGCATGTACTGCTTTATGGTGATTGGCACTGTATCCTGTCCTTGCTGGACAGTTTTCTGTTACTGACTGTTTGGCTGTAACTTTTATCTAGTCATTGTTTGGTTTGTTATAGACTTGCAAGGATTTCTGTTAACATCTCTTGTACATAGCTGTGTATTTCAGCTCTGTAAGTAATCCGTATGTGTCATATCTCGTCCATGAAAAATATTCACTTCAGAAATTTAGTTTTCTTCTGTTTATTAACATTTTCAATTTTCTTTATTGCGATTTCCCCCTTACCTTTTTGTGGGGATTGTGCCAAATTCCACCTATACTTTAATACTCCTATCCTATCAAGAGCATATAAGAATGCCATACCAAAAAAAGTAGTACGTACAAATGCTGTGCTTTTGGTAATGATTTTTATATGATCTGCTCCTCCAGGACAACCCTCCAGCACTTCAGGCAATTCTGTCTGGGGAAGTTGTTGTGACATCATCTAAAGAGTCCCACCGGCAAGAGCAGAGGGAGCGCGCTCTTGCTTTGCTCCATCTGATGATTGATGATGCTCATATGGGCAAGAGGCAGTTTTTGAGTGGTATCTCTGTATTTTAGTGGGTATTTTAGTCCTCTTTCTTATATAGTTATGATACATTTTTATACTTAAATCAGGTAAGCTTCATAACCTTGCAAGAGCTGTTGCTGATGAAGAAACTGAATCAAGTACTACTAGGGGTGAAGGATTGTATGCTGATCAGGGTGTTACTTCCAACAGTGACAAGGACGTAGTACTCGGGCTTGGGTTAAGAGTTGTTAAACAAATACCTTTAAGTTCAAGTGGAGGAGAGTCTAGCTTGCAGTCTACTAGTTATGACATTAAAGATGCTGGGAAGAGAATATTTGTTCCATTGAGTGGCAAACCCATGACATATCTGTCACAATTCATTCTTCATGTTGCTGCAATTGGTGACATAGTTGATGGGACTGATACTACTCATGATTTTAACTTTTTCTCTGTCGTTTATGAGTGGCCTAAGGATGTAAGGTTCTCAAAATATTTAAATAATTTGACAGTGCTTTATTCTTATATCTCTTACCCATATGTATTGCAATTGTTGCAACACATGGGGTTTTTCAAAATTTTGAGAAAAGTATCTATATACCGTTATTTAAAAAAAAACACCTGTTCTATTTATTGTATGTTCAATATTGACTATATATTTGTATGTCCCTCTGCAACCATTGTGGCATGCTCTCATATAATTATAAATAAATATATTTGTATTTCCCTCTGCAACCATTGTTGTTAAGAATATTATTTATAAAGCGCTTACTCATATTTCTGTTTGTAGAAATAGCCTTTTTTCTCATGGAGATTAGGCTGAATACATTTGATTCTTCCCAGACCTTGCAATGATGGAAACTCATGTGCTTAGTCTCCTTTTATATGTAGTCATTTTAAAAAACTTCATGTTTTATGTGTTGAGCATAGTTGACTTTCTTTTGATTGCCTCTGTTTTACTTCTCTACCTTGCAGCTGTTGACCCGTCTTGTTTTTGAAAGAGGCAGTACTGATGCTGCTGGGAAGGTAGCAGAAATTATGTATGCGGATTTTGTACATGAGGTGATTTCTGCATGTGTGCCTCCAGTTTATCCTCCACGGTCGGGGCATGGATGGGCCTGCATTCCAGTTGTTCCTACCTTCCCTAAGAGTAGCTCTGAAAATAAAGTGCTGTCTCCCTCATCTAAAGATGCAAAACCTAATTGCTATTGCCGATCTTCAGCAACACCTGGAGTGGCTTTGTACCCTCTCCAGTTGGATGTGGTGAAACATTTGGCAAAAATATCCCCAGTGAGGGCTGTTTTAGCATGTGTATTTGGGAGTAGTATACTGTACAACAGCAGTAGCTCATCAATTTCAAGCTCCTTGAGTGATGGATTACTTCAGGCTCCTGATGCTGATAGGTTGTTTTACGAGTTTGCTCTTGATCAATCTGAAAGGTAACTATCTTATCTGTGTATATTGGTTGGATTGACAATTTTATACATACAATATTTTTTCTGACTCTTAATGTTCTTAGACCATTAATGTAAAATGTTAAAACTCTTATTTATTTTAATATTTATTGACTTTATCGCTAGATTTTCTTAAAGTATTTTCTTATGTATACATTGTTCACAAATGAACATATATCCTTTATCTTTTCCAGATATAAATAACATTATACATCTACCTTTTTGTAACATATATTTATATGATGAATGTATGAGTTAGGGTATGTCAATCAAAAATATTTTCTAATGTTGTACTAGTTCTTACTTTTACTTCAAGAAAAGCCTTTCATAAAAATTTGTAAAGATAAGACCAAAAGTATTTTATTTTCAGATGTAAGGTAGAAGAGTTAGAATTTTAAGTAGCAATGGGTTTGGTAGATGAAAATATTTGAGATCCTTTGATAATGTGACATAGTTTGGGGTTTTGGTGCTTATAGGTGGAGCGTAATGGTATACATTTTCTCCATACATTTCTTTGTTCACATCTCATGTTAGCATATGCTTTTATGCCCTCTTTTTTTGGTTTGTGGGGATGGGGCTGGATTCTCTTTGCCTTTTTGGAAATTTTACTGAATAATAAGTTTAACCTTTTCTCCTGATGTGCAGGTTCCCGACTCTGAACAGATGGATACAGATGCAAACTAACCTCCATCGTGTGTCAGAGTTTGCTGTAACTGCAAATCAAACAGCTGATGACAGCAATCTTGAAGCAAGAACTTCTGTTAAGAGAGTTCGTGAACATGACAATGAGACAGAGTCAGATGCTGATGATATAGTTAGTAGCAGTACAATCCCTGTAGCTCTGGCTGACCTAAGTAGCCATGGGATTGAAGCTACAGATTTCTGGCTCGATTCCTCAAAATCTGAAGCTTCTCAACCTGACACGAAAGTTTTTCTTTCTTTTGATTGGGATAATGAACAACCATATGAAAGGGCAGTAGAACGGTATTATAGCTCAAATTGTTGTTCAAACTTTAGTTTTTTAAAGTTTCATTATACTTGCATTAGAATGTTGCCAATTGGGTGTAATCAATGCAAACGAGATGTACACATCCACTATTTACTCAATGTTACTTCATATTAGTGATTAGTGATGTTATTGTAATTGCAATTTGCAATTTAGCTTCTTTTATGGTAATCTGAACTTTCTTCGACTCTAAAGTGAATGACAGTAAACCTTTTTATGAGATAGAGTGGGGGACGTGCATACCTTTTGAATCATGTTCTGTTGCTATACGAATATTCTTGATATTCATGTATTTTCTTTGTTCATAGTTTTAGGGCATTAAATAATTACAACTTGCCTTTCTTAGCAATTTGTTACAGAGTGTCCTTTATGCTTCTGTTTTAGACTAATTGATGAAGGAAAGCTTATGGATGCTCTTGCACTTTCTGATCGCTTTCTACGGAATGGGGCCTCTGATCAGCTTCTTCAGTTAGTCATTGAACGAACAGAAGAAGTCCATTCAAATTCCACACAGCATCAAGGATTTGGGGGACGAAATATTTGGAGCAACAGTTGGCAGTATTGCTTAAGGTTGAACGACAAACAGCTGGCTGCTAGATTAGCCCTAAGGTTTGTAAATAATTTCCTTTTCATTGTTTTGTGGGAGGCAAGTTTATATATCTGATGAATTGTTTATAGGATACACTAGCAGTGCACTATTTAAAGCACACTTTTCAACAAACTATTATTAGGTGACTTTCATGCGAATTCCACTAAAAAGGAAGTAGCCTTAAGGTTTTTCATGATTTTGGGGAAACAAGTTTATATATCTGGTGAAGGATTTATAGGAAATGCTAGCAACAAACTATATAAAATACTCTTTTCATCGGCAAACTATAATTGGGTGAATTTAATGTGGATTCCAAGAGTAGTAGTAGCCTTAAGGTTTATACTGGAAGCTATTTGACATTTACCCACAGTGGTATGTTGGAAAGAGTGTGTGATTTGCATTGTTCATCATTATACTCCTGTGATTGCCAATTTGTTTTGATAGAGACATGAGGAGAGCCCAACCCAAAAAGACTTGTCTATTAGGTGGGAGAGTCTCAAGGCTTAAGTACCACGTCTAGTAGTTTATTTTATTTAATGTAGGATTCCTAACATTGTCACTCCTTTAAAAACCAATGTTCGCGAGGACTTTCACTTTATCGACATTGAGCCAATACTATCCTTTTCCCTTTGGTGGTTTCACTCACCTATCAATATTTGTTTTTCACTCTATCTAACTTATAGAGAGCCCTTTTCATTGCCTAACTTCCATTGAAAACATCAACTGTTTGGACATAAGCTGTGAGTATGGCCCAAAGACTAGTACATTAGGTGGTAGAGTCTCGAAGCTTAAATACCACATCAAGTAGTATATATTAATGTTTTTAAAATCGAACTGATCACCAAATCGGTGAAGACATGGGTTCAGGGTTTAAAAGTTCAACCAAGGTCCAATCAGATTTAATAAAATAATATTTTTATAATATAACAAGTATATAATAAGTTCATTAATAAGAATGTTTTTTTACAAAAGAAAGAAAAATAATCAAGGTTATAATCATGATCACCATAACTTTCAATGAAAGTTACAAATATAAAATATATTAGAAAGTGTAAGATAGATAATTGTTGAAATAAGATAAAAACACGATACAATAACTATTATTTAAAGTTGACGTAACCAATATGAGATAAAAAACAAAAATATATTATATCTTTTATAAAAAATTATATTAATTTTTTTTATATCAAAACTGTTTCAACCCAAAAATCCAGCCAGTTTTCCAAATTTTGTCCCGATTTAATTAAAATCCGGTTATTTGGAAATAACAAACCGGTTTCTAGTCCGGTTCCGTTTAAACCGGCAAGTCCAATCCAGTTTTCAAAATAGTGGTATGTACTACCCTTAACAAAACCGTTCCTGATCCTTCACCTAACAGTTTAAGCTTTTAGGAGATTTAATTCTTTACATGGTATTAAAGCCCAAATGGTCAGGATTTCAGTCCATTCCACCTCATTTTTCTTAAGTAAACTAAATTTCAACACTAGGTAAAGGGGGTTTGTGCATTGTCCATGCCTCAAGCCCAAGTGTCTTGCATGATTGGACCATGTTGGAGATATAAAACAGATTCTAATGGTTTCTCTTTATTTGTAGCATGTTTATCATTATGATCATTATTAAATTGCATATCCAATATTTTTCTCAGTCTTTGATGTCAATTTTAAATTTCAAAACTATTAGGTATGTACACTCATGGGAATTAGATGCTGCTTTGGATGTTCTCACAATGTGCTGCTGCCATCTTCCTGAGAATGATTCCATAAGGAAGGAGGTGAAGTTATATTCTTATTTGAATACTCTATCGTTATATCAATATTGCTACTATGGTATGATGCCTAGATACTCTTAAATGGTTTCGGTATCTGTACTAAGTGCATACCTGATGCCGGCTGTTTGGGTTCTGAGTACATTTTTGATAATGTAAGTGCAATGGTATTAATAACATTTCTCTTGCATTAAATACCTTTTGAGAACATCTTGGTCAAGCATTATAATGAGTTTGACCACACTCAAGTTCAAGCCAGCCATGCAAAAGACCAATTTTTGCTCTAAATGAACAAAGACATCATTCCTTCAAATCCTACTCCCTCTTGAAATTTTTTGTTACTACATATATTTTATGATTTAGTGATTTTGTTGTTACTTCATTTTTATATTTCTATACAATATACACTTTCTCCCATACCTGTACCCTTGTTTTAATCTTTTCCCCATATCTCATGCCCATGCTTTTTAGTCTCTATTGAATTATTTATTGTGTTGTGATGCTTAGGTTTTGCAAATGAAACAAGCTTTGCAGAGGTACAGCCATATATTGAGTGCAGACGATCATTATGCAAGCTGGCAAGAGGTTGTATTCTCTTTTGAACTGTTACATGTCTGATGTAGAAATTCTGTGTCAGTTTAATAGTTTTTTTTTTTTCAGAAGTTTCTATCTCATCTCTGTAGATCTATAGATTGAATTGGAGCTTTCTGTAGTTGATATGCCAACAATATATTAGCTTTTAAGGAAAATATTTATCCTTTTCAATTTCCCGTTTTCTAACGGCCACTCACACCCACCCTCCTTAAATGTTTGTATTTCAGGTTGAAGCAGATTGCAAGGAAGATCCAGAGGGTCTGGCACTTAGGTTAGCTGGAAAAGGAGCTGTTTCTGCTGCACTTAAAGTGGCAGAAAGTGCAGGATTATCAATTGATTTACGTAGAGAATTGCAGGGGCGGCAGCTTGTGAAGCTTCTGACAGCTGACCCTCTTAACGGAGGAGGACCAGCTGAAGCTTCACGCTTTCTTTCTTCGTTAAGGGACACAGATGATGCTTTGCCAGTTGCTATGGGTGCAATGCAGCTTTTACCCAATTTGCGCTCTAAGCAACTTCTTGTAATCAAGCATTTATTTAGCATATCCTCTCCTTGTTCAATTATATAAATTTCTTTACATATTTTAAACTCACTCCTCATATCAAATGAAAATTTCTGTATATTTGAAGGTTCACTTCTTCCTAAAACGAAGAGAAGGGAATCTGACTGATGTTGAGATTTCCCGGCTTAATTCATGGGCTTTAGGGCTTCGTGTGCTGTCTGTCTTGCCCTTGCCATGGCAACAAAGGTGCTCGTCCCTGCATGAACATCCTCATCTGATTATGGAAGTGCTACTCATGAGAAAACAATTGCAATCTGCCACATTGGTAATGCAAATTTATCTTCAATTAGCATGAATTATTATCCATATACTAATTTATTTGGGAGTATTGATAGTAAGGTTGTCAAAATAAAGATCTTGAAATGCACGTGTCACGGGTTGGTTGTACAGTCGTACCTAAAATACACAGTTTTTTTGAGTTAGAATTTATATAGACATAAAATAACCACCACCACAACAACAAAATCCTTAACTCACTAGACCACATTGATCGTTTGAGGCCATTGGTTTTATTAATGCCAAACTCTTAGGAATATTGTTTACCACTGACTTTCTTCTCAACAATTGTTATAATGTCCATCTTTCTCTCCCTCTCCCCATCTTCACAAGGCTAAAAACCATGCTATGTACTTTTTGCATTCATGCTTCCAATACCTCCTCATATACAATAATTTCATATCTTGTCCATTTTTTTGTTGTCTAAATCTATCATAACATTTGCATATTTGCTAATCTCACTTGTTTCTTGTCCCTTTAAAGTCCACCGAATAAAAAATAACTTAATTTAAAATTGTGTATAAAGATTTTATAACCCCCTATTCTAACTAACCACTCAATTCACAAGCTGAATATCCTAAATATAAACTACATATTTTTTCAAGAACACATGTGATATTAGCCCGACTTAAACTTAGATTTTAAGATGGTATTAGAGTCTATCCTAAATTTATTAATGGGTCACCTACCATATTATCCATGCACCAAGCCCAATGGTGGTGGATGCGAAGGAGTGTATTGAGAAAAAAAATCAAGTCCTATATTGACCAGTGATAAGGCCAAAGTAATGTATATAAGTGGAGGGTAACCATCACTTTACCAGCCAATTTTATGGGGTTGATTTAGACATAAATCCAAATACTATGAAGGCCTAAAGTGGCTTCTAGATAATGAGGTCTTGAACATAAAAGAAATTACCACCCGCCAAAACAGATGGCATGTGTATTTGAGAGATTGAGAATAAGTAATTTTGAGTTAAAGATATTGTCACTTATCAAACTTGATTTGAACCCTTCATCCTGCTCTGGATGTTGGCTAAGAACATAGATGTAGATAGCAGGTTTGCAAGATTGATGATGTATAGGGATCATTATGAGATGAAGAGCAGTGAACCATGACAGACTGATAGGCAATAAAGAGAGACGAGGTTAGTTTGGGTCAAAACCACTTAGGTCATGGTTCTGCTACTTAACTCTTCAATATTACAGCAGCTCGTGAAGATCAGTTATTTCATCATCTCCAAAATCTTCCCTAACAATCCCACCAGCCCTCAATCTTGTGTAGGAATGGGACTGGAAGCCTCATGAAGCATAGAATTAAGTGATCTTACGGGCAAGTGTGTGCTTTTGACAGCTATGATAGTGAAGCATTTAGGATACCCTTGCCTTATGTATGGTAGTTTATGTTTGTAATTTTTAAGCAACATTTTGTTTACTCATTTAGATTACTTATTTCCCATTCAATGTAATGTTTGCCTGTATTTCTGTAGATATTAAAGGAATTTCCTTCTTTAAGAGACAACCACATAATTACTACATATGCAACTAAGGCTATTGCTGTCAGTATCAGCTCGCCTCCTAGGGAACATCGCATATCTGTTTCAGGATCCAGACCAAAGCAGAAGACAAGATCAGGTGCTCCACAAAGATCATCTTTTACAAGCAGTCTAAGTAACTTACAAAAAGAGGCTCGAAGAGCTTTTTCATGGGCTCCAAAAAATAGCGTGGACAAAAATGCTCCAAAAGATGTTTATAGGAAAAGAAAAAGTTCTGGACTGTCTCCCTCTGATAGAGTTGCTTGGGAAGCAATGACTGGAATACAAGAGGACCGTATTTCATCTTTTTCAACAGATGGGCAAGAGAGGCTTCCTTCTGTTTCTATTACTGAGGAATGGATGCTTACAGGTGACCCACCAAAAGATGAAAGCATTCGCTCTTCTCACAGATATGAAAGTGCCCCTGACATTACACTGTTCAAGGTATAGTAATGAGTTGATCTTCTAGTAGGATATCATTTTAGAATGTCCTGCTGTTGCTTTGACACATCGAAGAATATTTCAGCATTTCTAATCTCTGATATAATTGAAACCATCCTAGTTGGGAGTTCTGATAGTGATAACTGAAGCGATTGTAGTTGCTTAGTGTCTTCATAGGATATGTCTGTATTGCTTTTATAAATCTCATTTTGTTTCTGCCGAATGCTTGGGTTTCATTCCGTAGGCACTGCTTGCTCTTTGTTCTGATGACTCAGTCTCGGCCAAAATTGCCCTTGATTTGTGCATTAATCAAATGAAGAATGTCTTGAACTCTCAGCTGTTGCCTGAGAATGCATCTATGGAAACAATTGGGCGAGCATATCATGCCACAGAAACATTTGTCCAGGTATTTAATGGGAATAGAGTAATTTATTGATTCTAAGTTTTATCAGTGGTTAATAATGATGGATCTTAAGTAATATGTTTATTTATTTTACTTGAACACTAAAAACAGCATTGTTGTAAATGTCCATCATTAGCATTTTGCTTGTAATTGAAAAATGCAATTATTCTAATATTGAATTTGCAGGGTCTGCTCTATGCCAAATCCCTGCTAAGAAAGCTCGCCGGTGGTAGTGAATTGCCAAGTAATTGGGAAAGAAATAGAGATACTGATGACACATCATCTGATGCTGGTAGCTCCAGTGTGGGTAGTCAATCCACAGATGAGCTTTCTGAAATCTTGTCACAGGCGGATACCTGGCTGGGTCGTGCAGAGCTGCTCCAAAGCCTTTTGGGGTCAGGGATTGCTGCTTCTCTTGATGACATAGCTGATGGAGAGTCATCCGCCCGACTTCGCGACAGGTTGGTTGCAGAGGAACGGTACAGCATGGCTGTGTATACTTGCAAAAAGTGTAAGGTAGACAAATTCCCTTCCTGCAATCAGTCTTGCCTTTTTATTTAATAGAAGTGCTAGATTCAGTTGTTATGGGTTTTAATGAAAGAATATTGCCTTTTAGATTGATGTCTTTCCGGTGTGGAATGCATGGGGTCACGCATTAATTCGGATGGAGCGCTACGGACATGCTCGTGTGAAATTTAAGTATGTTAATCTTTTATTTTTTTGGTAACAAAGCTTTTGCTCATTAAACATTAAAGCTTTTGAAACAATTTTAGTGACAGGACTCAATCATAGTTAAATATTATATATCTGTTTATGTCAAGGGTGATATATCAATTATATATCTCGCACATTTCAGGCAAGCTCTTCAGTTGTACAAGGGTGATCCTGGACCTGTTATTCTAGACATTATTAATACAATAGAAGGTGGCCCACCAGTTGATGTTTCAGCTGTTCGTTCTATGTAAGATGTTATGCATTTATGATAGTTTTCTTTTGCTGCAATATACTAGAGATTTTATTGTAATATCATGTTCAAGAGGCAAGAATGTCTCTATCATTTGTTTCAAATATTGCTTTGTGTTTATTATTCAAAATTATTTTATTTCTTATCTTGTTTGATGGTGTTGTTCAGATAATTAGATAACTAGATGATTATCTGGATTTTGCTGTTAATTTTGCAAAATGTTATCTGACGAATTGGCACATGTTTTCTTGTACTCGAGTAAAATCCTAAATATGTTTATGCTTTGACTTCCGATTGGTAATTCTGGTTAATTCTTTTAAAGTGTTGCTTTCAATTTTTTCTTGTTGGGGAAGGGAAGGAGAAGTGAGGAAAAAACTAGGGAGTGAAGACACCTTTAGATCCTGGACGTTGCACAGAAATAATATCTGATTATGTTTCTGCTTCAGGTATGAACACCTGGCTAAAAGTGCGCCCACAATCTTGGATGATTCTCTTTCTGCTGATTCATATCTAAACATCTTATACATGCCATCAACATTCCCCCGTTCAGAGAGGTCACGACGATCACAACTGTCTGCAAATAATAATTCTGTGTATAGTCCAGACTTTGAAGATGGTCCTCGAAGTAACCTGGATAATGGTAGATATGCTGAATGTGTTAATTACTTAAAAGAGGTGAGGATAACTCTCCCTTATATGCAAATAAATAATAAATGCTCTCATAGTTTAACAGTTTGCTTATATTGTCAAGTTAAATTGATACTCATCATTTTGAAAAATGTTACATAGATTTTGGGCTTATGCAGCAAGTCTTTATTTTAGTATCTATTTTTATATTAAACAATTTTAAAAGTTTAACTCAATTTCATGTTGTTGTTATATGCGTTTTAACTCTGCCATAATGCTATACTATGCCAATTTTTCACCCCTTGGCCAGAGGAAATTTGTGTAGGGAGGCCTGCTATGGCGGCAACATAGGGTGCAATGGTGTGTTTATACAGAAAATTTTCTGGTAAAATTAGATCTAGTAAAATTAGCAAGTTTTGGTTTTGGTCCTTCTAAATTTTTTCTTTGGTTCCTACTATCATGTGACAATATTTAACTATTTATGTGTTTAGTGGAAGGTCAGGTGACTATCCCAAATAACACTTGATAGTGTAGTGGTACTATGTCAACATGAAATACCTTAAAAAAATTTCTAGATCCGTAAACTAAATGTTATTTTTCAACCTTAAATTGAACTATAGAAACCAAAATAGTTATTTTAGAAAAAAATGTTGTTTATAGATATTGTTTAGATATTGTTAACCACATTATCAAACAATATCTTCTGTTTATTCTGTTTATTTTCAGTTACTGTTTTAGTTGTACCTCTCTTTATTATAAATAGATTATCCTATGTGTGGTTTATACACAAGGGAGATTAATCTCAAACCTATTTTTTCTATATTCAACATGGTATCTAGAGCTTAAGGCTATTTTGAAATTTTTTTTCGCCTTTGTCCACTGCAAGAGCCGCCACCACCGCTGCTGCCTGTTAAACTAATCTTTCACATCAGAAAATAGTTATCTTTATTATTGGATATTATTTGTTAGTGTGAAAGTGCATATTTATGAAGGTTCTGATAAGGAAAGATTTGGAATTTAAGCATGTCCATTATTGACTCACCTCTCTTTCTTGGGAACTTACTTGGTGTACTGGTTCACGCCGTTGTCACCGTCGTCGCCTCTTGCTCTGATCCGTTGTCGGAGTTTTATTTTTGACCGGTGACATACGATTTTGTTCGTCTCGGTCAGGTGACCACCATGTCGTTGAGATCACCACTATCGGAGTTGGTCTTCTATGGTCTCCTGCGCCGTTTAGTCTCGATGGACTTGTTTTGGTCTTCTCGTTTTGAATCTGTTCTTCGTGGATTGATTGGATTACTTTAGATTTTTTAGGGTTCGTTCTCCCGCCCTTCATGACTTCTTCCACTCCTATTATTTCCAATTATGTTAATGATTCTTCTGCATTGACATCTCATTGTGACCGAACTCGTTCTCGCAAATAAGGAAAAAAGTGTCCTAAGTGTGAACATTGTGGCAAACTAGGTCACAAGATTAACAAGTGTTATGTATTATATGGTCGTCCTCCTCGATCTGTTGCAGTTGTTTAGACCAATCTTTCTCCACCTTTGTCTGCTGGGGATCCTCCTTCTTCTGTTACATCCGCCACACATACTATATTCAACAAATTTCTCAAATGGTATAAGGATCAATAGTCTTCTAGTTCCACTACGTTTGTCGCACACACATGTACATATTTTGCTGTTTGATCCAATCTTTGTTCTCCTCTTTATCCTCTCCTAATCTTTTACCTTCTGTTACACTGGTTGATGACTCTAGAGAATCATCTCATGGTGTTGGAACCGTTAAACTTTTTCCTTCTTTAACCATTGATAATGTTTTTTATGTTCTTGGGTCTCCTTTTAACTTGTTGTCCATCAGTCGTCTAACTCGTTCTCTTGATTGTGTTGTTTCTTTTACCAATAATTTTGTGTGTTTACAGGACCGAAGTTCGAAACAGGTGATTGACACAGGATATGAGTCTCATGGTCTTTATCATCTCCGTCTCTCTATACATGTTGTTGCAATTATGGAGTCTTCTTCTCTTCTTCATGCTCAGTTAGGTCATCTGAGTCTTGCCAAGTTATAGAAACTTATCTCTACCTTGTCCAACTTATCTAGTTTGGCATGTGAGTCGTGTCAATTAGGAAGCATAGTCATACTTCTTTTTCTTGTAGTGTCACACGTGGTGTTTCGTCTCCTTTTGCCGTGGTTCATTCTGACATTTGGAGACCTAGCCGCGTTAAGTCTACTTTATGTTTTCAATACTTTGTTACTTTCATTGATGATTATTCCAGATGCACTTGGTTATTTTTTATGAAAAATCGTTCTGAATTATTTTTTATATTTCAAACTTTTTTGAATGAAATTCAAACTCAATTTGGTGTTTATATTAGAGTTTTGCGCAGTGATAATGACTGCGAATATCTTTCTCATTCTTTTAAACAATTTATGGCTTCTCACGGTATTCTGCATCAAACTTCTTGTGCTTATACACCTCAACAGAATGGTGTAGCTGAACGTAAATAGATATTTTATTGAAACAACTCGCACTCTTTTAATTCATGGAGAGGTTCCTCAATATTTTTGGGGTGATGTTCTTCTTACTGCATGTTATCTCATTAATCGCATGCCTTCTTCGGTTTTAGATAATAAAATACCTCATTCCATTATATTCCCTCATGAACCTCTTCATTCCTTACCTCTAAGAGTTTTGGGTCTACATGTTTTGTTCATAATTTAAGTCCTGGTTTTGACAAACTTTCTCTTAGATCACATAAATTTGTTTTCTTATGGTTTACAAAATCACAAAAAGGATACAAATGTTTTTTTCCTTCTCTCAACCGTTATTTTCTGTCTACAAATGTCACTTTTGATGAGTTCTCTCTTTATTTTAAAAGTCAATATTCTCCTCTGTCTCCATCCAATCTTGTCAATACTCCTAGTACATTTAATGTTCCTGTTGTTTGTGACCCCCTAACTGTGTCTTCTTCACCATTAGTTCTTGCTCCACAGTCAGCTTCTTCTCCACCGCTTCTTCAAGTTTATAGTTGCCGAAACCAATCACAACCACCACCATGTGACTCCACTCAAGTGTCAACTACTCTGTCTCCTCCGGATCTGACACCTGAGTCTAACCTTCCCATTACCCTCCGAAAAGGTATATGTTCTACACGTAATCCCTCTCTCCATTATATTGCTTTGAGTTATCATCGACTGTCATTACCTTTTTATACATGTCTTTCCTTTATTTCTTCTGTGACCATTCCAAAAACTGTTTGTGAAGTTTTAGCCCATCCTGGTTGGCGTCAGGCCATGACAGATGAACTAAGTGCTCTTCATAATAGTTGAACTTGGGAATTAGCCCCATTACCGTTTGGGAAATCTGTTGTTGGTTGCAGGTGGGTGTTTGTTATCAAAGTTGGACCAGATGGTACTATTGATCGCCTCAAAGCTCGTCTTGTGGCCAAAGATTATATTCAAATTTTTGGATTGGATTATGGAGATATCTTTTCCCCTGTGACAAAGATAGCTTCTGTTCGTTTATTTATCGCCATGGCCGCTCTTCAACAATGGTCTTTTTATCAACTGAACGTTAAAAATGCTTTCTTCAATGGTGATTTGCAAGAAGAAATTTATATGGAGCAACCTCTTGGGTTTGTTGCTCAGGGGGGATTTTTTGGGATGGTATGTTGTCTTCGCAGATCCCTATATGGCCTAAAACAGTCTCCTAGGACCTGATTTGGAAATTTTAGCAAGGTTGTTCAACAATTTGGTATGACTCGGTGTGAAGCAGATCATTCTGTCTTTTATTGACACTCGAGTGTTGGATATATTTACTTGATAGTGTATGTTGATGACATTATTCTTATAGGTAATGACAACCATGATATCTCTCAGTTGAAACAACATCTCTGTCACCATTTTCAGACCAAAGATCTTGGCAAACTTAGATATTTCTTGGGTATTGAGGTAGCACAGTTCAATGATGGTATTGTTATATCTCAGAGGAAGTATGCCATGGATATTTTGGAGGAAACTGGGTTGATGAGTTCAAAGTCTATTGATACACCCATGGATCCCAATACTAAACTTCTACCAAATCATGGGGAGTCTATATCTGATCCTGAGCAATATAGAAGATTGGTTGGAACATTAAATTATCTTACAGTTACTCATCTTGACATTTTCTTTTTAGTTAGTGTGGTAAGTCAATTTCTTAATTTCCCATGTGAAGATCATTGGAATGCAGTTATTCGTATCTTGAAGTATATTAAATGATCTCCTGGAAAAGGATTGATATATGGTTCTAATAACCATACAAGAGTTGTTTGCTACTCAGATGCTGATTGGGCAAGATCTCCTTCGGATAGAAGATCTACATCTGGATATTGTATCTCCATTGGTGGTAACTTGATCTCATGGAAAAATAAGAAACAGAGTGTTGTGGGAAGATCCAGTGCAGAAACAAAATATAAAGCTATGACCTCAGCTGCCTGTGAACTTGTTTGGCTCAAACAATTGCTTAGAGAGTTACAATTTGGAGATGTCACTCAAATGACACTTGTGTGTGACAATCAGGTTGCTCTTTATATTAGCTCTAATCATGTCTTTCATGAGAAGATAAAACACATTGAGATTGACTGTCATTTCATTCAAGAAAAGATTATGTTTGGAGACATCAAGACTGAGTTTGTTAACTCAAGTGATTAGTTAACAAATATTTTTACTAAGTTTTTACGGGGGCCTAGAATTGATTATATTTGTAATAAGCTTGACACATATGATTTGTATGCTCCAACTTGAGGGGGAGTGTTAGATATTGTTTAAATATTGTTTGATATTGTTAAGATATTATTAGATATTATTAATCACATTATCAAACAATATTGTTTTTTTACTTTCAATTACTCTTTCAGTTGTAGCTCTCTCTATTATAAATAGATTACCCTATTTTCTTTATATTCAACAGGTACTAAAAAAGATATTCAAGCATATATATTTATAATCTTGGTACATAGAGAATGCTTGCGAACTCTTATAAAGTGGTTTAGTCTTTATTCAACCGTACAAAATTAGCTTGTAAGGTGAGGATTGCCCCCCTTTATTTACCGTATTTTGGCACTATCTCTAGTCGTGTGGAACTTTGGTTTTTCCCAATACACCCCATCATGTTCATCACTATTGAGCTTGATACGGGGATAACATGATGAGTGACCCTTTTAACGGATCTAGGATAGACTTTGGTAGCTTCTTACAAAATGGGTATACCTAACTAAATCCTACAAAACCAGCTTATTAGTGAGTATTACCAACATTTATATACTTTGTCACTATCTCTAGTCGATGTAGTATTTGGGTTTTTTCCCATACTAACCTTTAAAATTTGCTTGCAACTTTTAGATATCCTAATTGTTATTTCAAATTTTGCAGTATGCTCGCCAGCATTTGCTTGGCTTTATGTTTAGGCATGGTCACTACCATGATGCTTGCTTCTTGTTCTTTCCCCTTGATGAAGTTCCACCACCACCACAACCATCAATCACAAGTGGAGTGTCTTCTTCATCACCCCAAAGACTAGATTCTTTGGCAACTGATTATGGAACAATTGATGACCTGTGTGAATTCTGCATTGGTTATGGTGCTATGCCTATTTTGGAGGAAGTCCTTTCAACTAGAATGTCATCAACTGAATCCCAGGATGCAGTGGTGAATCAGTATACAGTGACAGCCCTTGCCCGTATTTGCCTCTATTGTGAAACTCACAAGCATTTCAATTATTTATACAGGTTTCAGGTAACTCTCTAAGTAATGAGTAACTATAAAATTTTACTGTGGAGTAATCTTCCTTCTATCTTTGGAGGGCATAGGGTCTTCCTTTTTCTGTTGGAACACAGACAGTAATTTGGAGTTGTCTACTAGGATTCTTTGCTTTTATTTCCTAAAACCTCTTGCATTCTGTAATAAGTTTTTTTTTTTTTTTTTCAAATTCATTTACTGAGTTTTATATTAACCATGTTAGGTTAATTTCAGGATACTTCAGTTAATTTTAGGTGCAGTTCTTGTCAGTGATCATTAAATTCTTCTGTCCTATTATTCAAAACACAAAGGATAACTGATGTTTGGCACGAGAGTAAAACATTTTTAGAAATATTCTTAACATCAAACTGATCTTTTAGTTTGACTGCAAGTCCATCACAATGCCCGCAAAGATTCTTAGGATATATCCATAAAACTCCAACCATATATATCCACAACACTTCATAAAAATGCATTAACACATGATCTCCACAATAACTGCTCTCATCAGTCCTTTATACACAACTTATCCTAGCAAGAAAAGAGGTTGTATCTAGAAAACAGAATTTTGTGCATGGAACAAAACTATATTGTTTGTGTTACAAATATTTTCTGCATTGAACAACATTTTTCATGACCACAGAACCAGCTTGAATTATAAAGTATCATGACATCTTTTAAATTTTTTTGTGGGGTAATTATTTTCAGTCTCTAATGATGTACAACATTTAGGTAATCAAAATGGACCATGTTGCTGCTGGACTATGTTGCATTCAGTTGTTTGTGAATTCTTCTTCACAAGAGGAAGCCATTAGACATTTGGAACATGCCAAGGTATGTCCATAATTTGATAAAATAAAAAGGAAAGATAGAATGGTAACTTTTAAGCATGCTCAAGACATATATGTTTATTTTTATTCAATATGTCACTAATATTTGGCTTTACTTTTGCTAAGTAACTTTTTTTTTTCTTCTTTTAAGTATGCTCAAGACATATATGTTTATTTTTATTCAATATGTCACTAATATTTGGCTTTACTTTTGCTAAGTAACTTCAAGTACATTCTTATAACTGCAGGACTATTGAATTTTAGAGTCTTTTTCTTCCCTATATGTTTTATTTTGAGCACCTTGTTGCAAGAAAGAATATTAAATTTAAAGATCTGGAGTGATTAAGTTGATATGGGTTGAAGCTATTAAATTAAGAAGCAAAAGGGTATCATTATGGGACATAATGTGGAATGTTGGTTCGATGAAGACTAATTCATAGATGGGGCTACAATTAACAAATCCGACTAGATTTTTCTATCACAATTTGTTGTTGTTAGAAATAGCTAAATATAGGGGTCCAAACCCATCTTTTTTTTTTTGTATCATGATATTTATATATATTTGTTGTCCTACTGTGCAAAATATACAGAGAGATTTTATTCATATATCTCTATCATTTATCTTAACATGATATCTAGAGTCTAAACTCTAACGTGTGCCTTCTTGGTGGACCCATTATACATCAATGTCAATTTTTTTTTGGTAATCGTGTTTCATTTCAATTTTTTCTTTTCTTCTTTGCCTTTGTGTTGTTCCGCTTCAGTCACTGCCACCATCTGCGCAACTGTATGATCATCATCCTTTTGTTGGGTTTTTGTTTGCTCTCTTGTTGGTTTCCCTGTTGTTGTATTTTCTCTCCTACAGAGCCTTCACCTTTTCAATATTTGTTAGGCCTGATTTTGCTATTTTCACTAATTATGTCAATGTGTCTCTCTCCATTGACAAGTTAAAGGGAAATAATTGTAACATCTGAGCCTCTAATATTAAGTTTTGGTTGAAAGGACAAAATTATGTTGATCATCTTACATAAATAGCAGCATCTATTGATGAAAAAAATCGGTCTTATTGGTCTAAAGTTGATTCCTAAGTTTGTAACATTCCGAAATAGTAGAATTTATTATATTTATAACAAGTTTGATACATATGATATATATGCACCAGAGGGAATATTAGAAATAACTAAATATATGGGCCCGCCCATCTCTTTTTGTATCATGATATTCATATATATTTGTTCCTTTATTATGCGTAATACACACGGATTTTGTTGCTAACATAAATGGAGGTTGAGTTTTTTTATATACCAATATGGATTCTCCCTACATTTGAAAAAGATTTTTTTTCTTCAGGAAAGAAAGAAAAGGTAAATACATATGTTAATTTAATACTTGTATCCATCCTCTTTTCCTGGGCAGGAAAAGCATTATTGATTTTATAAAATAAAATTCCATTTAAATTGAAATGTTAACTAGGGATACCCCGCTTTTAAGATTTAAGATTAAATTGATTGGTGAAGGCACATGAACCAAATCACAAGAGTTTGCCCCTGGCATGGACAAATATTTTTGTGTAGCTTCATTAAATCATAGAACTTTCATGGAATATCCCATTAGTAGATAAGATAAGCAACTTGAGTCAAAACATTTTGGATCTACTAAATGGTTAGTGGTGCTACTAGATTACTGAGAGATGTTATAAACTGAACAATGACCAAGAAGAAGGAACTTTGGGAGTTATAGATGGTCAAGCTTTCTTTCTGTGACAGACAACCTTCTTATTTGACTTATAAATTAAAAGAAGCCTTCAACTTCTGTCCTCAGATCCTTGTACTCGTAAATTCTTGAGTAAATTTATTAAAACAATAATGCAATGAATCATAAAAATGCATACTTAATTATATCAATTATAATAATCTTCTTTAATGTATGTTATTCTGTGTTAATAATTCTGTGTTTTTTTGTATGATAGATGCACTTTGATGAAGGATTGTCTGCAAGGCACAAAGGTGGGGAATCTACTAAGCTTGTAACAAAAGGTCTTAGAGGAAAAAGTGCATCTGAAAAGCTGACAGAAGAAGGTCTTGTAAAATTTTCTGCTCGGGTATCAATCCAGGTAATTGGATATCCCAAATCCAATACTGAGATCTCAGTGGTTTAATGATTAAATTTTGAGAGCAGATCTGGCAACCCAATATATTTGCAACTTCCCTTGACTATATGGTAATGGACATGCAAATATATGTGTATGCTCATTTGTAGACATACTTTTGTTCGTAAGCTTTGATTCCAGGCATTATCTCTTGTTAATAGAAATTTCCACGAAATGTATGCTTCTTTGTTTTAGACTTCTCATATAATTCACTTCAATTTTAATTTTACTGCTTTTCAATATATTTTGATGAAGAATTGTTTGTGAAATCATATGCTTAAGCAGATTTGATGTATTTTGTAGGTTGAAGTTGTTAAATCCTTTAATGACTCAGAAGGACCTCAATGGAAACATTCACTTTTTGGGAATCCAAATGATCCAGAAACTTTTAGGTTTGTTCAATTAATCTTTATTTAGTAACTTCAACCATCTATTTCTCTTTCTTGGAGTTAGTTCGATATCCCCTTAAAATTCACAGTAAAAAAATTTAGGATTTATATTTTACAACTTTTTTAAATAAACTGTCCTCAAACTTTTAAACCATTTTTTAGGGGACTTCAAACTTACTGTTGTTTTTAAAATATTTAGCATGCATACACACAAGAATGTGTACTGGAAATGTTCACTTTTTGGGAATCTAAATGATCCAGAAACTTTTTAGGTTGGTCATAGAGGATTTGATCCCCTGTCATAAAGCATCTATCCTGGAAGCTAAGCTGTTTCGTTAAAACACATAATTAAGTTTTATGCCTAACATGACCCTTGATGCACAAAAAAGTATTTAGATGGATTGAAGAACAACTTATAATTTATATCTTCCATCTCAAGTATTTTTTGATGTACTTGTATATAGAATTATAGGGTCAACTGCCATTATAGTGCTCTTAATGACTGCTAAAGTCAACTGTAGGAGTTATATGGACTTTTCCACTGTCCATATTACATGCATTCACGTGCTTCTGTTGTTGTGACATGTAATATTTTTATTTCATAGTTTTACATAATGACAATTATTACAAATGCTCGTGATATTTTTAAAATTTCAGAAGAAGGTGTAAAATTGCAGAGGTTCTTGTGGAGAAGAATTTTGATTTGGCATTCCAACTGATCTATGAATTCAATCTTCCTGGTAACATCGATTTTACTCTTTAAATCTGGTTCTGTTGTCTTATTTTTAGCTCCACAAAGTTTTTTCAGCTTACTTATCTTGGTTTTCTTTTTGTATCATGCAGCTGTTGATATATATGCTGGTGTTGCTGCATCTCTTGCTGAGAGAAAAAGAGGCAGCCAATTGACAGAATTCTTTAGAAACATCAAGGGCACAATAGATGACGATGACTGGGATCAGGTAATCCAATTACATCTTTTTTTCCCCTACTACTCTTAAAAGAGCATTTTTTTTTTAGTTGAATGGTTTAATGTGTCTCGAAAGTTAAATGAGTAGAACTCTTTTAGCATGTATTTGATTCTACCAATTTTATAGACCTAAATTTTCAAAATTCCACTATGAAAAATGGAGCTTAGCTCCTTACGCTAGAAATGTTCTCTAACAAACAAAACCCCAAAAGATACAGCATGACAAGCCATGGAAAACAGAAACCAAATAGACATGGTAAATAGCATTTGACACCAGACATAGTGTCACTCCTCCAGGCCAAAGGCTTCCTCTTTTCCAAATTCTTTGATGATTCCCTCATATTTCAGCTCCCCCCTGTATCATTCATCTCATCATTCTGCCCATGGTTCTCATTCGATCTTCCCATCTTTCCAGACTATTAGTCGTTTCTCTGATCCAACCAATTTCTCTACTCCTTCACTCCATTTCATCCTGTTAAAAATATATGCCTAAATATATGTAATTTGAATTTGAATAATTTTGGTTTTAGGAATTTTGTTATGTTTCAAAATATAGGATTTGTTTAGAAAAAAACTATGATATTATTATTCTTATCATTTACATTAAGAGCGCTTCGGTTTGATTTTAAAATTAGAATAATGTTGAGATTTGAATTGTGTTATACTTTAGCTCTATACATGGAGCACGCCTCCACAGATTACATATCTCCTCTTTTAAAACTATAGTCTCTATAAAAACACTCTAACTCCACCTCCAACAGCCCTTTTCTACTGTTAGTGTCCTTCTCTTTCTTTCCTCCCCTGAAAAAGTGTCAATGATCTGTAATGCCACTAGTTTTTTATAATATAGCTTTAAATTCTTGTTTTGTTAATTTGGAAAACTTGACTGTATAAAGTAGTCTTTAAGAATTATATATAGACATGGGCTTTATATTGTCAAAACAGGTTAGGAAATTAAAATGTGTTTTTTCTAACCATTTGAGTTTATGGTTTATTATTATTGATTTTTTGTTCTGTTACAGGGGGATTATATTTAACAAGTGTTTTCAATGTTTCCAATGATGCAGGTCTTAGGTGCTGCAATAAATGTATATGCAAACAAGCATAAAGAGCGTCCAGACCGTTTGATAGACATGTTAACTAGCAGCCACAGGTGAGGGCTTTTATCTATTTTTCGTCATGCATTTTTTTTTTTTTTAATTTGGGATATTTTATAGAAAATTCTTTGATATTTTTACAAATCATTCTTCTTTCTCTAAAAATAGATTTTAAGTGCAGAAATTTTAAAATCTTATATCTATAGCCATTTTTCAAAAGAGAACTAGACAAACAGTTTCTAGCTATAATCCTCTCAATACATGATGCCAGGTGCATTTTCCAAAGCCTTTTCTTTGCAGTTATTCTGGTAGAACACCAATTGATAAAGTGTAATAAAATATAATATACAACACTGGAATCACATAATACAGCAATACACTTCCCGATCCAGAGTCAAAAGTCTCCTGTCACAAACAATGCAGCAATACACTTGCTGTTCCAGAGACAAGTCTCCTACAGAGAGTATTCTATCTCCTCAAACTACAAACAAATAACTTCACACTCCCCAATTACACAGCTTTCTGTCGGATATATACTCTTATACCTAACTATTAACAGTTATTTTCTACAACCATGTCATCCTGCAGTTTCTAATATAAAATATTAAAATTATTACACATTGTTATTTTGGACACATAATCCAAGAATTTCTAATCCGGTTTTCAAAGTTATTTTCTACATAACTTTCACAACTTCCCTTATCAGAGTGGCAATGGAATTCACCTTAACACGTTTATTTTATTTTTGAATTGGTCATGCAGAAAGGTTCTTGCTTGTGTAGTTTGTGGTCGATTAAAAAGTGCATTTCAAATTGCTTCACGGAGTGGTAGTGTGGCAGATGTTCAATATGTTGCTCATCAGGTTACCTTTCTATCTAGTTTAGCCTCATCCTTTGATTTCTTTTTTTGTCACTTTTCAAATGGAAACTTAATCAATCAGCTATATTAAAAAAAACTGGCTAGTGAGGTTTACTGTTATATAACCCCTGAAGTAGTTAGTTATGGGGGTAACCTAACATTTACACTGAATCCAAAGCTTCAAATACATAGCAGCTAGGATTGAATGTCCTATATCTGGTTGAAAATTGAATGTTCGGATATTAATCTCACCTGAAGGTTGATTCACTTTGCTAGTGTCGCATGGATTATCTAATATCGGGCCCTGTCATCTATCTCTGATTCCTGCATGTTACAAGGCACTTCAAATTTGGATTGGCGTTGTTCATAGCTTACTCTAACTTGTACTACCCTCCTGTTAATAGAAATTGTGTTTTTTTGCTGTCTTGAATTATGAACTTGAATATCATGATTGACTGACTGTTAGGATGGATTATTATGAATTTGTTTAGATAATATGTTGTCTTTTTTAAGGTAAAACTTTAAGCACCAAGAAAAAATGTTGGAAATGCCTTTTTCTAGGGGGAGACGGCCAATTCAAGATGAACTTATCTGCACAAAATGAAAAAATACTTTTTAACGGAAATAAAGAGGTCCACGTGTTACTCCACCTGAGGAAAATTCCTGTCTATTTATCAGTGATAAAGGAGCAGATGCCTCAAAACTCCTTGGAAAGAACCTAATGTTGGATTCAATGTCTAGTAAATATAGTGCTTGAACTCGTTCTTCTCATCTCTCCCAACTTCCTATAATGCATTGGATGAACTGTTAATTGAAAATGTGAGAAAAAAACGTTTCTTTGATTTGATGATCGTACAGATCCTGTTATTTGGGGTGCTAGCACTTGCCCTAGGGTTTTCAATACCACCTGCACCTCACTTATCAAGAATTTTCTTTTTCTCATTTGTGAACTTGACTTACGCAACCATGGCCTTTAGACATGTAATTTTGCTAATAAACTATTATTCTTCTTGCAGGCACTGCATGCAAATGCACTTCCCGTGCTTGATATGTGTAAGCAATGGTTGGCTCAATACATGTAACCTATTGCTAGAAGAATCTGATTTACGAAAGTGCCAATGGTCTATTTATTCAACTCATGTCGAGAAAGCTGGAGTTAGATCATAACCATTTCCCAAGAGAAATAGAACGAACCAAAACAATTGGAGTCAAGTATTTATCGTAAAAATCAAGATATCATATTTTGTTTCATTGATTTCACAGTTCTTGGATTTGTTGAAGTGGATTTCTTGGTCGAGGTATATACAAACATCCAAGTTGGTCCAACATGTGCCTGGTATGGCTTCCGTTGCCAGGTTTGAAAGATTGAAGATAAATCATCACATCCCCTGCGCAGAAATTGGTTTTATCCTTGGATCTCATGCAAACACTGAATTTGGGATCATCTGAATGTCGACAATACATGAAGTTCTTTACGCACTCAATGGAATTGACTCTCTTGCAGGCAACAAAAGTTACTCTTTAATACGACATTGGAAAAGAGAAGTCTACAATTTTTTAGTAGACTATGAATCTTTTAGAATAGAATATTTGTACATGAATTTTGAGCTTTTCTCATTGTATCAAAGTCCGTTGTTGTAAAGATGTCTTCAATTTGATTTTACGACTGTCACTTGATAAATCACAGGTGGGTTAGATCAACGATACTAATCAAAAGGTAAGGTGGGTCGTATTTGCTTGATCTGCCGATTCAATAATATTTATCCTTGGGTTGTACTGTACCTAAACCATGAACTTGGAAGAGCTGAATCACCAATCAAATCAATTTGTTAATCTAACATTTCATGAGAAAGAAAATTTAATGAAGTTTAAATTTATGATGAACAATATAAATCATAGAGCAATTTTAGTTAAGCAACCATTCTCTTTATATTTCTGAATGTGTTTTTAGAGAACATTTTAATAAATATCATAAATTAAGATGTTGATATTAAAACAAATAAATAATTTATTACAAATAATCAATACATACCATTAAGCATATATAAACAGCTTTTACTTTTTTTATGCAGTTATTAGAACTGCCTTTTAATTTTAATTCCCTAATTTTATTTCTAAACAATATAGACATCTGCCACGCGATGAAATGCTCGTTGTGTATTATTTTATGCGTATATAATTGTTTCTTATTAAAGAAAAAAATGTTATTGCATCATTATACAGGTTGCAATTCTAAAGAAATTAGTACGACGACGCGCTTCAATCGTATCCAACATTCTTAATACAATTAAGAACAAAAAATACAAAATGAGAAACCAAATCAAAACTTATTGAAAAAATATAAAATATTTGATATAACAATTATATTTAGTGATAATACAAGGAGAACCCATCAAGTAAAATTTAAAATTCTAACCATAAACAGCCAAACTATTTATACATCTATTTTGTTTCTTAAAAATACGTGGAAATCTGATTGGTATATCTTTAGTTCAATTCAAAATATTATTTCATTTATTCCTTAACTTCCAAGAACAATTTAAATAAGTTTTCATACGAAGTAAAGAATTTGTCTCTACCTTAAAGAATTTTTAACCTTTTTAAATAGTGATATCAATAGTCGAATACCACGTAGGAGTTAAGTTTCAAAAGTATAAACTTCGCAAAATAATTCATATTCTAAATTTTTGAATTTCTAAAAATTTCTCCATGTGATGTTTTGTTGTCGTAAATGTAAGATCTGACCTAAATACGAAGCTCAATCTATTCTAGAAATATGTATCAGTAAAAATTATATCAACAGGTTTATAGTGTATTTGAAACCCTTCAAAATTTAATCTTGTTTCTACTATTTCAACTTTATGTTATTATACAAGTAATAGCATATAGCATCAATTGCCATCAAATTACTCCAATTCCTGTTGGATATAACAGTTAAACATGTAACTATTATATAATTTAATTAAATAATATTAAATATTTAAGGGGCGGAATTTAAATTTATATAGGAAAAAAATCCGTTGACATGGTCTGTTCCGTTTTTTACACATTTTTAAATCATGGATAATTCATCTGTTTTTTTAGAAGCAAAAGAGAAGCATTTGCTCAAATTATAGTAAATAGTTTTGCCGATGGAAAACCAACTTGCAGAGAAGGTTTATGTCTTTGTTATGTGCTGCATTTTGACAAATCCTTGGGTCATCCGCATCTCTTCGCTCCATATACAAAGTTCTCATTGTGCGTAATTATGTCGTTAAGTTGTACCATATGTAATTGAGAGTCTGAAAACTCGCTGCCACCTTCCTCATATAATATTATTCTAATGCTAAAGGACACTCAACAAGAAGCACCTATGTTTTTGTTAACTCTGAATAAGAATCCAAGGGCTTACCGTGTGCATATGTGTGTAGTAATTAATTATATATACACAATAACGTTGACAACAAGAAAAGTGTTGATCCCTCTCTCTCTCTCTCTCTGTCTGTCTGAGGAAGCCATTTTTAAGACTCTGGCTCTAACAATGTCGGTGTCGTCTCTAGTTAGAAGACGCTCAAGTGGCGAAATGACCTCGGTTTCAAGTACCATCTTTCCAGCATTTGGCACTCCCATCTTTGATTTCGAAGGTTACTCCAACCTAAGAAAATACGTCATTGCTCCCTATGACCGTAGATATCAGTACATGTTTAATTAATTTCCTTCACCCAAATAGTTATATCTCAATTTGTTATATATTATACATGTATTAATTAATATACTGCTTTGTGGAATGGAATTGCAATTTGTGATACATGTAGATTGTGGCAAACGTTCCTAGTGGCATTGGTAGTGTACTCTGCGTGGGCATCTCCATTCGAGATAGCTTTCAGAAAACTGTTAGTTGGGTCGTTGTTGCCCGTTGATCTCTTTGTTGATGCCTTCTTTGCGGTCGATATAATCCTTACTTTCTTTGTGGCTTACTTGGATAAGTCAACTTATCTCTTCGTTGACGATCATAAGAAAATTGCTCTTAGGTGCGTATACATGCCATCTACTTTCGCATGCATGTGCGGAAGTTTTATCATTTTACTGTCTTCACCCTTCATCTATATAGTCTCCTGCATGTACCTTCTTTTTACTTTAAATGCACATATTGTTTATCCTCTCTTCTATAAAAGTTTTTGCATTTTCACTTGAACAGGTACGTCAAAAAGTCACACTTCACTATGGATCTGGCCTCTACTGTGCCAATTGGGCAGATATATCAAATCATGACGGGCAAGCCAACCAAAAGCGAGGTATTTGGTTTCCTAATTATGTTAAGACTCTGGCGATTGAGACGTGTTGGTAAACTCTTCGCAAGGTACGTTCACAAACGAAAGCAAGAGCAAACTCAATAAAATAAAAAATGCAGTCAAACAATATACCTCTTCCTCGTCAAGGGTGCAAATTACGAAGATATAATTGGACTATGGGAGCGTGTTAGTTTTACTATATACTTAGCAACTACAAAATTGGCAATATCTTGTCGATTAGACATGGTATATTATAATACGCTTCAGGCAATAGCAGTTCACTTTAAGCGTACGACCAAATTTTGAAAACTTGAAAAAAGATATTTATATCATATTTCAAGACGAAATTTGTTAAAGCTTAAATGTTGTATGCATGTTGACCGAATTACTACTAATATAAGCTATTGATTCATATATTTCATTCTTTTTCGCATTAAAAAAAATTATAATAATTTTCCAAGGGTTACTTTCAAAAGTATAATTTTAACCTTCTTTTAAGAAAAAAATGTATTATTTAACTTAAAACTTAAAAACCTATTTAATAGTAAATTATACTAATATTTAAATGGTCTTATCCACTACTTATACGCAATAAACAAATATAAATGCAATATATAAGCATTGTAATTCAATGTGCACATTCATAAGACTTCAAAGCAATTTTTAAAAAGTTTGAAGTCTAACTCTTTTAACTAAATATGTTATTTTTAATTACAATACTCGTTTACTAAATAAGGTTAACTATCTAACTTACAGCGAAAGTATCCATGATGCATGATAATTTGATTAGATTGATTGTTTAGTTAAATTTTGGGATCTTGCCACATAAATATAAACAATCTTCAATAAAACTCACTCCATTAGTAAACTGGTTAAAATGTAAGCTTAATCTTTTTTTTTCTTTTTTTTTTAAATCTAATTACGGACTTCACGTATTATTTTTAGTTTTGACTCTACTTTTTCCTTTTTCTATTGTTTACTTCATAATTCTGTAACTTTTTGTTTCAAACAACAATATTACTTAAATATTGTATCATTGTTTATATAAGATACACTTAGTTAGTTAACCCATTGTCAGAATGATTTTTTATATAAGATTACTTTTTAAATGGTTGATCATCACAAAAACCATCCACACTCATTGTCAAGATAATTTTTGATATAATGATTACTCTTAAACTACTAATCATCACATAAATTATTCGCTTATGACTGTTGTATTTTTTGAAAAAAAATTATCAGTAAAAAATAATACCAACAAAACATAAGTCCAATTCATATAGAAAATTTACGTCACCTTCCATCCGAAACTTTTAAAACATTAAATTATAAGTCTTTTTTTATATATCTAGTTCTTACACGATCAGAAACTTAGACTCTTTCTTAAATTTTTCAAATGAATAAAGTTTTTATATAAACAAGATCCGCTCGTATGTTGCTAACGGTAAATATTTTTAAGCGATAAGGCTGGGCAATAATCCATCTCCCTACACACTCCCATCCATAGAAATGATCTTCAGTTATATTATTGTGTGCAAATTATTCTACTCAAATTAATTATTAATATAAAAATTTTCAAAATACTGGTAAGTAAAGAAAAAAAAAAGCAATTACCGCCAATTTCTTGCGGTACATGAACCTCTTGTCCTCTATTAAACACACCTATAAAAAACAACAGTGTAGATAAGATTAGATGATGGTGATATAAGGTGACAGAAAGATAAAGAATAAAACATGTGAAATACATGTTTGTAGATTATCCAAGTATTAATTACCGATTACGCAAAAAAGGAGTGCCTTCTTTTATCAGGTTTTCCTGTTTGTAACTGAAACTGCAAACTGTTTTCCAGGCTAGAAAAAGACATACGAATAAACTATTCGGCAACAAGATTTTGCAAACTTATTTGCGTAAGTAAATTTTTAAATCTCGCTTGAGAATATGTTCATTAAGTTTTTTTTCTTTCTTTATTAAGATGTAATTACTAATTTGGCTAATGTAAGTTCGTTCGTGCTTCCTATTTCATTTGGTTTATCACAGGTTACACTATTTGCAGCGCACTTCGCAGGCTGCATGTATTTTTGGTTGGCTGTCCAGCACAAAACACCGAAAAACACATGGATCGGGAACAAAACACAGGATTTTCATGATTTGGGCATCGGAATGGGTTACACTTATTCTATGTACTGGTCTATTGCGACCCTTACCACTGTTGGATATGGAGATTTTTATGCAGTGAACTTAACGGAGAAGCTTTTCAGTATTTTATACATGCTCTTTAACATCGGCCTCACTGCATATATAATTGGAAACATGACAAATCTGTTGGTTCATAGCTCTGTCCGAACCTTTGCCATGGTAAGAGTTAGGAGGACTTCTACGAATCTCATAAATTCTTAATTAAGCAACTACTTCTTTATATTTAAGTTGAGCCAAACTCTCTTCTAGCAAGAGAGAAAATTTGTGACCATGCTAGAAATTAGAAACTTAAGGCATGCATGACTATAAACAGTAGACAGGTGGAAAGAGAAAAGAAAAATAAATGAGAAATACATCTGGAACATTTAGTACTTACCTCATGCCTCCCATTCACAGTTTTGCATTTTCACTGCCAATAAGGTTACCCAATGGTAATTTGGAAAATGTAAACAACTTGCGCTCCTACCCCAGCCAAAATTGGACAAGAATTTATCAGAAAAATGCCTGGATTAGGCAAGTATACCCCGATTGGAGTAATTTTGCTCCTAAAAATGCTTATCTGAGTGGCTATACCAAAAACTAATACATTTTCCCTTCAGGCTTCGCAGAGGGACGCCTTCAACAAAATATTACAATATGCAAACAAAAATAGACTCCCGGGAGGCTTAAAGGACCAAATATTGGCACACATGCAATTGAAGTTTAAGACTGCAGAGTTGCAGCAAGAAGTGCTACAAGAGCTACCTAAAACGATAAGATCCAGCATTGCTCAGCATCTTTTCCAAAACATAGTTGAAACAGCATATTTATTTAAAGGAGTTTCTGGTGATTTTTTCACCCAGCTGGTAAAGTTTTTCTTTGATTTTTTTTCTCTTTATTAGGTAGCGATAGAATAGATTCGGAACATCTCAACAGTAACTAAATTTGAAATCATGACACTGAACAGGTGTCAGAAATGAAGGCAGAATACTACCCATCTAAGGTTGACATAATCTTGCAAAATGAGATGCCAACATATTTTTACATTTTGGTATCTGGGTCACTGGTAAACATCTGTAGTCGTATTCAAATCCTGCCCTTGTGCAAGGCTTAACTAGCTAACTAACTGAACTATTATTTCGCAGGATGTGTTGATATACAGTAATGGGTCCGAACAGGTAAAATGTGATCTCCCGAGCAATTAATTTAAGGGCATAAGTAACATATTCAAAAGAATAATAACTCCTAGACACTTAGTGAATGGAAAAAATAGCGCATAAACGACTACAAAGTATCACGCGGGAGAAAATGGTTTAAACTTTAAAGAGGAAAAAAGGATAAAATATTAGTCACATTTTGGACTAAAGATCTAAAAGTGTAATTGATTTGTATCTGAAATCAGGGAATCCTTGTATTTAATATTAGATGTAAGAACATCTGAACTATAGAGAATAAAAGAATCTCATAGACTGCATGACATTGGCAACTAATGCATTAACCTGGGGTAAAAGTCATTTTCGAAGATGAAGTTTTGTTTACAGAATGAGGAGTTTTTTTTTTAATCTTCTAGCTCTTTCCTGTGACCTCCTGGAGCAAACACGTCAAATTAAGTGTAAAAGCGTTAATGTCTTCAAAAGAACATCTTCATCAGAATCGTAAATAGAACTGGTGGTTGAAATCGGAAACAAGAGACTCAAGTGTGCATGACAAGACCAAATTTAGAGTACTAACAGAGAAAGAAATTATAATGATTTAAAAGCAGTATCTATGTTTATACTCTAATAACAATTCTCAGATTGCTTGACTGAGCTCATAAAAGTTTTTCAGTTTTTATTCGAACTTCAATCTGGAGGCATGGCAGGAGAAATAGGCATGATGTTTAATATTCCGCAACCTTTTACAGTGAGAAGTAGAGAGCTCTCCCAGGTCATACGAATCAATCATCACCACTTCAAGCAGATGGTGCAACCATTTAGTGACGATGGGAAGGCAATCATGTACAACTATATTCAGGTTTAAAGTTCACCATTAACTAATTAATTAATTTACACACTTCAAAATTCACCAAATATCATCCTGAAAATTATATCCAAATATTGTATCACTATCTCAATTCATACATCTTCAAGCTAATGTTGATTCTTGTATTCTCAGTATTTGAAGGGCCTCAAAGGCAAGGTGCTAGAAAATATATCATGTGTAACAGAATTGTTGGATGACCTTTATGATGAGGTATTTCTTTTAATTTTGAATTTCAACCACTAAAACTTCTGACTGATCTATTGAGAAGTATACACATTTAGTAAATGCGCAAATATAGGATATAAAGAAAATGATGCACAAAACTCCTTAGATATTAAAGTTGCATTCGCATAGCTAAAATCTTTAGGCAATACAATTAGCGAACGAGAGAATGATGACTGTCACAAGAACAAAATTCTGCCAGGAAGTCCCAAAGCTCTTCAATATCTTGCTTTAAACAATGTTCTCGAGAAAAGGTATGTATATTGGCTAAATTAAGAACAACAGAAGAAAAGCCCACTAAAAATAAAAAACTTCCCTTCGACCATCCTCCCGTTGTCTTTTTCCCAATATGACCTTAAGGTTACCTGATGATACATGGATAATCAGTTTCTTTGAATTGAACTTATGTTCCGTGGAGATACATGTTAACATCTCAAAGATGATTGTGTTATATGATGTGTCATGACATGAACAAACTCAACAGCTCCCCAAAAGCTTAGCTTAGGTGAAAGCACAAGAACAGATTTATATTACATCTCTAGATCGGCAAATGAATAAATAAAGAATTCCTAAGTATCTAGTTTACACTTCCGAAAATAGATTCTATGGTGCAGACAAATAAATCTATCATAATTTTGTCCACATATGTACCCATAGGAAACGCCTTTTCAACATATTATTTTTCTTAACACTGGCTTTTAGAGTATGTTCTACTGGTAATCCTAATGTACATGTGTGAATCGTTTCATAGATAATGAAGACTTGTTACTTGTTTTTGCAGCATCTGAGGCAAAATCGGGGTACACACGATGAAGGTTCAAGGTATCAAAATCCCTACAAAGAAGGTATCCTTAATCCAGTGTCTACTTACAGCAATAAGAAATTTTAATAGTCTAACCTATAGTGGGTAGACACGGTAGAGGAATTAAAAACAAAAAAAAAGAATCATTAGACACTCGGAGATTCTGTAAAACACAATCCAAGAAATATCATGTTCATTTCTGTTTGTGGGTATTAATGCTGATTTTTTGGCATTCCGAACATTGTAACATTCTCTTTACATTCCTTATTTCTCTCCATCTCTCTCTTTTCTGGGTAAAAAACAAGGCATACACTACACCAAGATTGCCCGTTGGTAACCAATCATGGGTCATGCATGGAAATAATTCCTTCTTGTAGCAAACAGATATATCACAATCACGAATAAACCAGCAATTTGCAACATTAATTCAGTACGACAAACAACTTGAACTCGACACAACAGACAGGAACCCTTTGATATGGAAATGTTGCCTAGGTTGCTTTCTTCGTTTTCATTGCTTGATAACAGTATCCAAAATGAAAATGCTATGGAATTCATGAAGTTTCTCCAGACGATTTATGAGATAAATGACATAATTTACCTGCTTGCATAAACAACTAGCATAGGCTCATGCAACTTACTAATGGAAGGAAAAACAGTAACGTCCAAACTACTGTCAAGCCCAGTCCCTGTTAGAGTTACAATCCACGGACACCATCCCAATGAAAACAAAATGGGAAATGGAACAACACCAAAGCTCATACTTCTCCCAAATTCGGTAGAAGATATTTTCAGAGTTGCAGGTATGCTTACATTCAACATGCATCCATACCTCCAAAAGATTCTAAGCGTTTTCATGATTGAATGACATCAATAAAGAAAATAACCTGATCAATATAATCTGAAATCCCTTATTTGCCCGCATTCCACAAACAGGACTCATTATTTAAAGCTTTTGCGTTAATATTATTATGATTTCACTCTTGCATTCGTAGAATTTAACATATTGAGGTAACAACAAATTCAATAGGATAACTAAGTTGATTGGAGGCTTGTGTACGCAGAGAGAAAATTCGAAAAAAGAGGAAGCAAGATTCTCATGGCTGACGGCTCAGGAGTAGAACAACTAAACGCGATAAGGGAAAATGTTGAGTTATATATCCTCTAATGATCAAACCAAACAGAGATTAACAATATGCTGCTCTTTTTTATACGTCGCCGTATAATCTACTTAACCAAACAATATATATAGGGATGCAATGTACAGAAATGAAATATGTAGAATGATACCTAGAGTGTTTCACTCTCTATTGAGCATGTCTAGAACAGCATACGCAGCTTTTTGAAAGTTATCTCTCTCTTCGTCTAAGGCTTTTTTCCTCTCAAGAGCAGAACCTTTGCATTTCTCTATGTCCTCTTCTATAACTGCAGAATTATGATTAATTTCACTGTAAAGAAGAAACAAATAGCCGTTTAAATTGAAGAGCACAAAATAATCACAAATTTTGACCCGAAATCCTAACGAGTAACTGTACTGAAAAAACGTAAAGTATCTTGATATTGAAGAAGCAATGATGATCAAGCAACGAACGTGATCATCTTAAACATGTTCTCCATCATCTCCTGGACTTCATTTGATATCTCTGCACGGTTTAGCAGAACAATCAGAAATCAAAGTAAACACACATGGAGGAAACTCGTTAATCAATCGAACCATGCGTTGCTAAAATTTGGGTTACATTACACACACGAAACCATTTAGATCATTACAAATGAAAGATCGCGTCGCGTCACATGTGTTTTGAATTGACAATTAGGTTTAATATTTGCATCTGCACATATTGTTAATTCTCCAGTTTCATGAATGCGGATGATGAATTATTACAGTGGAAGATTGAAGTATCTGCTACGACTCACCGTAGATGAGCGAAGAAAGGAGGTTCTCGGGTTCTGCCTCTGTAGATATTGGCTCTGAGGACGCCATCGATGCAAACCTTGCGACGAGCGAAATGGCATACAATACGCGCGCTTTGAATCTATTTTGAATTTATAATATATATATATATATATATATATATATATATATATATATATATATATATATATATATACTGGTTAAGAAAGGAAACTAATTAACATAACATGAGCCTTTTACCTTATACCCATTGTGGGCTTTATTTTGCTCAGGCCCAGCTTATGTTAGTTAGTTGTTTCTTTCGGCTCATTACATATTATCATTACAAAGGCTAGATATATAAATAGACTTAAATACAATTTTCATCTTCCTATTTTACTTAAATTATAATTTTTTTTATGATAAAATAAATATTTTTTATTTTAATCCCTTATTTTCCATGTTTAATTCAATTGGATCCTGCATTTAATTATGATTATCATAAAAAATATTTCATTAATTAACATAGTTTGATAGTGTAGACTTTATGATCATATATTATTGAGGTGAAATTATTGTTTTTATAATAAATAATTGAAAAGTCATTGAAAGTTTTTAGAAAATAATTAAAAAGGTTTGGTTTTAATCCTTTTACTTAACAAATAAGATATTTGGTCCTTCTCCAACCTGGGAGCCTTTTTGTCCTTAACCGAAGATAGAAATAAAATACTCTACTTTCCGTCAAATAGTTAAATTCGAGACTTGAGTACCAAAAACAAAATTATATTTCTGGCAGACAAATCTGTGGCACTTGGAACAAATCTAATAAATTAGTATTAAACAGAAAGATTACTTGAGTGCCATCCTTCCATGTTCACGTGTATTCATAACTTCACCAAATGCATTGTCCACGAAACAATACAAATTGGCCTAGAATAGTTCTGCGTTTCATAATTCCCCCCAAAGAATTTTTGGGTACTTGGAACATAGGAAGCCTCACTAGACGTTATAGAAAATGGTAGATGATGACACCAAAAAATAGTTTTTCTTTTTTAATTTATGGCATGGTTGCTAATAGGTTAGTGTTTATTTTGTGTCATTTATCGAATCTGTCGGGTAAAGGTCCAACATGTTTATGCTTGTTTAATATCGAAATAATGTAGGAGTCCCTTTATTACGCTTTTTTTCAATCATTATCTTAAGAAAATGATAGTTTTTATTAAAAAATGTAAAATAATTCTATTAAGTATACAACTTTTATTAAAATATATTTAATACATTGAAAAAAAGTAAAATCATTCAATACTTAAATGTCTCATGACTTGTAAGAATATGATAAAAACAGTTCTTTTAAGACGATTGGCCTTTTGGGAAGAAGTTGGCTTCAAGAACATATTTTTAATATGCCTTTGTTTTGTAATTTTTTTTAGTATTTATTTCATTCTTTACTATATGTCACTTAAAAAACAAATAAAGTATTTTTTTCAATGTTGATGTGAGGAAGGATATTATTAATATATTAATACGTGTTTAAAATAATAATAAAGAAGAGTGTAAAAATGAATAATATTTTAAATATAAAAATTAATGTTAATGATGTTATCTCATTAAATATCAGATCGAGATATTTCTTAGAAAACAAGATAAATTAGAGGAAAATTAGATTATTTAATTAAAGTTAAATTGGTAGAAAATATAAAAGAAAATTGAGAAGAAAGTAATTAATTATTAGATTAATATAAATGATAAAAAAAATATTTTAATAAATGAATTTTGGAGATAACCACATTACCATTTGTTAAGAATCGATTATTTCACAGAAATACGGTCTTCCTTCTCCTGAGTAGATACCTATTCATTGTTCATCAGGTAAACAATACATCATTAACAATAAATATAATATCTAATAAAAGATATTTTAATTATCTTATATTTTTAATAACTTCTGAGACTTTTTTCTAAGTACATATCAATTTAATTTCCCATTAAATTTAATTAATAAATTATTTAAACTGTGTATTTAAAAATGTAAGTAGAGGAATAAATAATAGGTGGAAGAAATGAATGCAATTAATGGATGGTGTGTAAAGGTTGTATGCAGGAGCTATAGAGCTATAATTGATCCGTGGGAAGGTGACTTGTTTTAAACCCATCCATAAATAGGCCGGCGGAAATAAGCCTAGTGGGGGCTTCAATTCATACCTCTATCCTTTATTTATTTATTTATTTTTATAATAAAAAAAATGTAGAAAACTTTAGTTTACTGTATTCTTCAAACTTAACCTCTACCTATGCTCATGATATTTGACATCTCAAGTATTTTGAAATAAGTCAAAATATCTAAAACATTTGAGATATTTAATATAATAAAATAAAATATAATGTTTTATTTTTAGATAACTATATTTATTTATTATTCTATATAAGATTTGATATTTCTTATTATTTTATTATTTATTAATTTTTTTTACTCATTTATTTATTATCATTTAATATTGATTTAAATATAAAAAAAATTACGGATGATTCTCTCTTACTCTCAACTTACTCGAAAGAAACTAAAAAAAAATTGGTCGTCCCTCAAAATTCATGGAACAACACAACCCATTAAACTAAACGCGTTTTGAGAACCCCGTATGAGTAAGTGTTGCTTATTTTTTTTCTTAACCAATTTTTAGATGTAAGTTGATGTTGGACATAACTTCACTACTACCTTGGTCAATGGTTGGAGGTTGTGGAGTGAAGAAGTACGCAATTGTTATACGGATTGGGTCATAAGATATTCATTAAAATTGAAATATTACAGTACTTACGTACATCATTTTTCTGCATTAGACTTTGCAGACGCAAGATAGGTCCTTTGTCACTAATTAGTAGCATGGCATGGCTAGCCTTATAGCTACTCCTTTCATAACTTTGATTGGTCAATCGATTGGCCGCATGCGTGCATGTGCATGTGCATGTGCAATGCATCATCAACCATGCATCCTTCTTGGATCAGGTTCCCCCACACCTTACCAATTAAATGCTGCTCTCATCATGAATACGTTTTATTTATTTATTTATTTTAGGTTAAAATATAATTATTTCTTTACCTTTAAGTTGTCATAGTATAAAGGAAATTGCTTATTGCATTTTTTTTCTTTATTTAGTTCTTAATTATGACAGAAAACCGCACAAACATAGAAAAAAAAAACATGATCAAAAGTTTTTTTATTCTAAATAAAATAAGCAAATAAATTTTATACTTCTTTATCCTTCATTCTCAGTGATATTATTGTACTCCACTTTTTCTTTTACTTGTCTGTACATCTTTTTTTATTTCATTTCTAAACAATCAAAATAAATAAAAAATGAGTAATGATATATTTAGTTGTTTTGTTGACGTGGAATAAATAGAAACATCAACAATTTTTCCTTTTCCTCAAAAATAAAATAAATTCCTTCTTGTTTTTCTCTACTTAAATTAGCAAAATGAAGGATTTTCTTTTTGTTTCCTTCTCACTTCATATAAAATTGTGATCTTCAATAAGAAAACAACACAAGGGAATATATATCAATGGTTTATTTGAATTATGAGTGAAGTAGAGTTGAAGAAAATGTATACGAAGAAAAAACTTGAAAAGATGAAAATAACATAACGTAAGAAAGGTTTTAATACTTTGTTGCTAAAAGCAAATAAGAATAAATAAATGGAAAAATCCACCACTATTATTTTCATTCACAACTATTATTTTCATTCACAAATAAAATATAAATTCCAAGAATATGTTATAGATTTTTTTCTAATAAATTTAAAAGATGAGTAAGAGATATTATTTCCTTTCTAGTTAATGATAATTTGGAGTTAGAGAGCGAAACTATAGTTAGTTATCTCATGAAAAATACTTTTTTCTCCATCCAATGTAAAAAACTAAGTTTGAAATTAATTTTTGTCTTCTCTCTTACCTTCGCAGGAGATATAAAATCTTGTGTTTCGTTAGGAGAAACAGGAGGGAAAGATAGAAAAATAAATAAAAACTAATTATCGATCATTTTAAAATTAATTTTTCAATTTGACAACATGGTTACAAAAATAATAATATATATATATATATATATATATATATATATATATATATATATATTATTTAATTATGAAATTATTGTCTAAAGAGAAAAAGATATTATAAAACTCATGTTACATCTTTTACATTATGTGTCCTCACACGTCTAGATTCATTGTTATGCAAATCTTTGTTTAGTTACAAATAAACATGATTGTTAAATTTTAGGTACAGGTAGATTGAAAAGTTGTGTGTGGATTGTTACTCATATTTCATTTATAAGTAGTTCACTTGCACATTCCTTCAAAAACACACATCACTCATCTTCTCTTTTTTTTTCCTCTCACTTTTCTTGTCCATACGCTCTTTTTAAGAGTTTCTTGTTAGTTTCTGAATTCCTTAAAAAATTCAAGAAATTCGTACCCTGGAAGACTTGTGTAATATCCCGCGGATAAGTTCTTAAGAGTAGTGATTATACATATCTCAGAAAAATTTTTTAGTGTCTCTGTCATCTTTTACAATAATTTTAAGAATTTATGACGGACACTATGGATACCAACAACAACTTTACACAAGAAAAGACAAACAACATTTCTGAAACTCAAATTGTCTTTGCAAAACTGTTTCCCAAACATTTCAAAAATTGAAGTTTTCACTGATAAAACTTCTGACACTAGCAAGAAGGTATTTCTACTATCTTAGACATGTATCGAGTGACTTCTCTTACAACTACCAATCCTGACTCCAGTATTTCTTCTAAACAAATTGAAGACTGGTTTCATTCGAACAAGGTATGTCGACACATTTTGCTTAGTGCATTGTCTAATGATTTATTTGATGTATATTATTCCTATAAGGAAGCCAAAAATATCTAAGATTCGTTGATTTTCAAAATACACTGTCGAAGATGTCGTGAGACAAATGTTCGTTATCAGAAACTACTACCGTTGAAGATGCTAGAAGACAAGGACATCAATATTTAGATCAACGAGTACCATAAGTTGCTTGAAGATATTAAAGCCAAAAATATAGTCCTACCTGATG